ACGGCATAGAAAGCCAGCATTTGGCATCAGAATGTTGCATGTCACATCAGCGCATTAAGCAATATGGTGGTGAACCAGACAGAAATCCAAGGGTAACATGGCAAAAACATTTCATTGTTACTTTATTGAAACAAACATAATTGATCTGAAACCATAGATGGATCTATTTCACTTGTGAAAGTGGATTTCACAATTCTTTCTCAGTCATTGAAATGCCACTCACAGGTGAATTATGCATGTGCTCAAAGCACGTCACCAGATTTTGATAGAAAACAGCCAACATTTCCTTCAAAAGCTTAATGCTTTCTCTTAGTTTGTGTCTTCCCTTTATAGAAGAAGACAAAGTAGTAGAGTTATGCTACAAGACGTTTTTGGATTTTGATGCTTCAGACACCTAAAGTACTTCAACTTGCTTCAGTTATTTATGTGTGAATATTGTATCTTCTATTTTTCTTTTTTATATTTTGCAAAAAGTTCAGATTTCAATAGAAATTAGCACCTTTATAAAATAACCTGCTTACACCCCCATGCCTGACAATCAGACACCTGGTACTGTTACTTCCTGGTTGTTTAGCTCAGTGGAGCTAAAGTCAAGTGGCAACAATTGCTAGGAGCACCTGCCTTGCAAAGACTTCTCATGGAGCTGCATTGGGAAGTCTGTGATTGCACAGCCATAGAAAGTCTAGGTGGGGTTACAATGGGAGGGTTTGCAAATGCTGCAGACAAATGATCTGCAGATTTTGCAAGCTGTTTTTAGATACATGCCCAATGAAAAACATGCATATTTACTGAACAGTGATTATTATATATTTATTTTTGCATTTGGGCAGTGGAGTGTATTTTTAATGACAATACCATGACCAAAGCACGCATGTTTACGTGAACTTTAAATATGCCATCTAAAATGTTGTGCTCATAGTACAAATGTCAATAAAAGTAATCATGATCCAATTCAAATATAATCTTATCTGGTGTTTTTACTGTGAAAATCATATGAAATTAAGTTAGATATGGTTGATTTCAGTTTTATTGTGGAATGGCTACACAAATGACAATAAAAACTAACAAATGCCTCTTTGAGTCCAATAATCTCCTTAATATGCACTTATATTATCAATACTGCTCGATTCTAAGCAGTCTTTCTATGAGAACGACTGTTAATTATTCTATAATTCTGCATTCTTAATAAAATGTTCACGGTCCATATATTTTTCACTTTTCTGTTATCATGTTAGGAAAATGTTTAATTTTCAGAGAATAAACTAGTGATGCCTATTATTAAGGAAAATCAACCTGAAACAGGTAAGATACCATTTTTTCATTTATCTGACCTCTCTCTGAAATAAGTGACTACTAGACTTGTGCACAGTGGCATACACACAATCCATGGGGCCCCGGTGCAAAACTGATCCATGCCCCCCCCCTCCCCTCCAGACAGAAACACACACAGACACACATACATACAGAGACATATACATACACACAGACACATACATACAGACACATACATAGAAACAAACACACATACATACAGAGACACATACATACACACAGATAGTCACAAGACACACATACATACAAAGACACATACAGACACACACATACATACAAACAGACAGGCACACATACATAGAGACAGACACACACACATACACACATACAGACACACAAACATACAGAGACACAGACACAAACACACACACACACAGAGACACAAACATACACACACACACAGGCTGGTGGGAGTCAGAGTTCCCACTCTGATTCCCTCTCCTTCCTCCCGCGTGGGCTCTCTCTGATAGCTGGGAGGAGTGACGGGCAGTCACTTCCTCGCCGCAGCACTGACTGTGGCCCCCTGAAAATTCATCAACATGGGCCACCCAATGGGCTTCTTGAATGTGCGACCTCGGTGGTGTGCCGCGTGGGCCAGGGCCACAAAACATATACGCCACTGCTTGTGCATGACAGTAAAGTTTGGTTCGGCCGAATCATATTTCCCGATTGAGATGTCCAACACTCAAAACCAAAAAGAATGTGAAAATGGGCCAATAACTGTACAACAAAATATATTTATAATATTCTAAATATTATGTATACATTTTACACTACACCGACAGGTGCATTTTCCTGCCATTGAGTCACAGATCAAGTGAGAAATATAATATATATCATTTATAAATTATATACTAAAAAAATATTATATTAAACAGGGGTACTAAAAAAGGTCGCAACCTACAAATTATACCAAGAGAGGAGGAATCATATATTAAAAGCTCATTATATTTTATTAGTTATATCAATTGAACACAGGCAAAACATAAGTGTAAAGTAATACTTTAAAAACAGTAGATGGCCTTAAAAGAAAGTAAATGGTCTAAAAAAAAACAAAAAACAGTGCTGCGCTGTGTATAGGGCTCCTCCTTTACTCACTGTATATTTACAGAAATGTTAGCTGTATGCATACAAAAAGGTTACTATTATTATTTTATTATTTACATAGCGCCATCAGATTCCATAGCACTGTACAATGGGTGGACTAACAGACATGTAATTGTAACCAGACAACTGGAGGTACAGGAACAGAGGTGAAGAGCCCTGCTCAATGAGCTTACATTCTAGAGGGAGTGGGGTATAGTGACACAAAGGGTAAAAGTAGGGGTACGTAGTAGGTTTTTAGAAAAGTATTCAATGAGGGCTTAGTAGGTAATATATGACAGTTGCAGAAGAGGAGTCATGGGGGGTGGGGGATAAAAACCTGCTAACAGTTTAATTGATATGCTTTCTTGAAGAAGTGAGTTTTCAATGATTTTTTGAATGACTAGAGACTGGGTGAAAGTCTTATGGAGAAGGGAAGGGTGTTCCACAGAAGAGGTGCAGCCCTGGAGAAATCTTGGAGGCGAGCATTATAAGTGGGAGTACGGACAGAGGACATACGTAGGTCTTTGACAGAGCGTAGGGGCCTAGACAGGACATACTTGTTTATTAGGGAAGATATGTAGGCTGGAACAGCATTATGTAGGGACTTGCAAGCAAGCACCAGAATTTTAAATTGACCCATATATCTAACTGGAAGCCAATGCAGGGACTGACAGAGCGGGGAAGCGTGAGAGATGTGAGCGGACAAGAAAATGTGCCTCGCTGCCGCATTCATTATAGATTGCAGCGGTGCAATCTGGGAACATGTAAGACCACTGAGAGGGGTATTGCAGTAGTCAAGGCGAGAGAGAACAAGAGCATGGACCAGCACCGTAGCCGCATCCAGGGTTAAACAGGGACGGATGCGCGCTATGTTTTTGAGATGGAAGCAACAGGATTTGGCGATTAATTGGACATGGGTGGTGAAGGAGAGGTTGGAGTCAAAAAGAACACCCAGGCAGCGAGCCTGTGAGGTAGAGGTGATGTTAGTGTCGTTGACTTGGAGGGAGACAGACGCAGGAGTAGCAACACATGAGGGAGGAAAGACCAGAAGTTATGTTTTGGACAGGTTGAGTTTAAGGAAGTGAGCAGCCATCCAGGTGGAAATTGAAGAGAGGCAGTCAGAGACACGAGTCAAGATGGGCGGACAGGTAGATTTGCGTATCATCTGCATAGAAATTATATTCTAAGCCAAAGGAGCTGATGAGTTTACCAAGGGAGGCAGTATAGATAGAGAACAGAAGGGGACCAAGGACAGAACCTTGGGGGATGCCGACAGAGAGTGGTTGGGGGGGGGGGAAGAGGCAGAGTCAGAGAAAGAAACACTGAAAGAGTGCTGGGAGAGTTAGGAGGAGCACCAGTATCACGTAGACCAAAATTGCAGAGAATGCGAAGAAGCTGTTGATGATCAACAGTGTCAAAGGCAGCGGATAGATCAAGGAGAATTAGGATAGAGTAATGGCTGCTAGATTTAGCAGCAATTAAATCGCTGAATACTTTGGTTTCGAGGGACCTGATTCCTTTTAAGACAGGAGTCACAAAATATTTTTTTGATAATCGTGGTTTGGGTAGTTGGTTAAAATTGTGTTTGTAGTTTGGATTAGGCCCTTATCAATGCCCCTATAGCACAACCACGAGGTCTGCTAGCGGTAACCTTATTTTCTAGTTCTGTACATTATTATATATATAGTACATACATATAGATTATAGATTATTTTTTTACTGCTCGCCGTTTTTTCCTCTATTGGTCTATTTAGTGGCTATACCCTAGCCATTAATTATCTTTTTTCCCATCAATCATCATCTTTTTTTGGCGACACGGGTGAAATGCCAAATTCTGAATCAAATGAACATGTTTGGACATCATACTAATCCTGTGCTCGCTTATACGTCGGTATGGCGATTTGAAGGTATGGAATTTGGCCAAACTGCCGACCTGCCAAGATCAGCCCAAAAGTCTAGTGACAAGTGAGTAATTAAAAAAAAATATCCATATCGCAAACGTTTATCCACTTTTACATTATTCAATATGTTTGACGTTAACTATTTTCATAAATTATGTGACAGAGTCATATTTTAATCTTCTTTTGCCTTTAACGCATATGAGACAAATGCCAAGGGAAAAGTGATATGAAAATATTGATTTATAAATTACTGCTTATAACTTCTATACCTAATGCCACGGTGCTGTCCCACATAATGCAAGTCAGGGCCAATTATTTAATATGTATATTTTTCTAAATCCCTGGTATTCTGTTTGTTTGCTTTAGGTTTGGTAAGTAACCACAGTATTTATCTGCTTGAAAACCTGTAAGATAGATATGTTATAATGATAATTGGGGTCTACCCATCCCATCACCATGTGCTTATACTATATATCCATGAAGATGCTGTGAGTGTGGTGACATTTTTTAGTAATTTTATGGATTTAGTGTAAAACATGACATTTTTTAGTAATTTTATGGATTTAGTGTAAAACATGACATTTGTTCAGTAAATGTATGCATTTAGTGTAAAACATGATAACTAGCTCAGTGGCTCCTTTAAGTGTGGTCAGAGGGCATTAGCCTTTGCACACAGGAAGTGACGCAACAGCTACGCCCGGAAGCCGGAAAACAAGAGGCGTCTGTCATGGCGTCGCCCTCTGCTTTATCCCGATGTGTGGTATCTCCGACCGGGAAGCACACGGCCTCGCTGATTTTCTTGCACGGATCAGGTGGAACCATATTTCTTTTTTTTTTTTTTTGGTTTGGCTGCTGGCCAGTGACTAGAGCGGAGATGCGAAGCTGCTGCGAACTACAACTCCCGACATGCTCTGCTACCGTTTGTAATAAGCTGAGCATGCCGGGAAATGTAGTTCTCAGAACGTTCAGCTTCTATTAATGCTTGGGTTGGTGGAGCTGACAGTGACTGTTGTGCTTCCATTTAATATTGGACTCATGTATCCTACACATTATTAATAATAGTCATGTCTTCATTCTGTTATTTAAATAACATGTTTATTGTGTTAGTGTCAGTAAAACAAATAAGTTGTGTTGTTCAAATAGAACACTCTGACTATGTAGTAAAAAGTGAAAAATCCCAAATTATGTCACTTATATGGTTCTACAGAAGTTGTAAAATTAATATAAAACAAGATCAATTGTTAATGGCCAACATGCCGGTTTTTCACAAAACTGTAGGCTTATGTGATGCAGTAGCATCTTTTAATTTTTTTTTTTTATTATTATTAATATGAGATACATTATTTGCAAATTCTCAATGTTAAGAGCTAAATAAAAATTACCTATTGAAAGTATCCACAGCACTCAATGTATATAAATGCACACTGTTCTGTTAAGGGTGTTCTGACAAGGTATAGTAAACTGATAGAACACCGGCATTGAAAATCAACTTGAGATACAAAACAGAAAGGAAGTGAATATATACATTTTGGCATTAACGTATCTTTGCACTATTTTATTAACATTAGTGAAATTTTGCTCAAGTTAATTTTATTTTATTGTACCATTTTAAACAGGATCTGTACAGAAGGGCAAAGTTCAGGGACCAGAATGGGACTTGCTGATGCTTAGGAATTTAACCCTAGTATTTAGATATTCGAAATGTTGCAGGTGCTTTTAGTGTGAGGTTACACAGACTCACTCCGGACACAGATCATAGGAAAAATCATTGTATTCTTATTCATAGCCGGCTACGGTCTCATCAGCACAGACTCATGTCTAAAAAAGGGCTAAGAGCCCCCCTCTCGGGTTAAGTCTTTATATATTATTATTATGTTATTTATATTGCACCAACAAATTCTGCAGCACTTTACAGTAGGTGGACGAACAGACATGTAGTTGTAACCAGACAAGTTGGACACACAGGAACAGAGGGGTTGAGGGCCCTGCTCAATGAGCTTACATGCTAGAGGGAGTGGGGTAAAGTGACACAAAAGGTAAGGATAGTATTAGACTAATGACAGATGCAAGAGAGGAATCACTCGGGAGCTATTAACAGTTTAATTGATACGCTTTGATGAAGGAGTGGATTTTTAATGATTTTTTTTGATGGAGTGGAGCCAATGTAGGGACTGACAGAAGGGTGAGGCGTGGGAGGTGCGGGAGGACAGGAAGATGAGCCTTGCCGCCGCATTCATTATGGACTGTAATGGCGCAAGTTGGGAGCACATCAGACCACTGAGAAGTGGATTACAGTAGTCAAGGCGAGAAAGGGCAGTGGAATGGACCAGCACCTTAGTCGCATCTGGCGTTAAGTAGGGTCGGATGCGCGCAATGTTTTTGAGATGTAAGCGGCAGGATTTGGTGATAGACTGAACATGAGGCGTGAAGGAGAGGTCGGAGTCAATGAGAACACCTAGGCAGCGAGCCTATGTGGTGGAGCTGATGGTAGCACCGTTGACTTGGAGGGAGACAGACACAGGACTAGCAACATTTGAGGGAGGAAAGACCAGAATTTCAGTTTTGGTCAAGTTGAGTTTAAGGAAGTGGGCAGCCATCCAGTTAGAAATAGCAGAGAGGCAGTCAGAGACACTTGTCAAGAGGGACGGGGAGAGGACAGATAGATTTGCGTGTCATCCACATAGAAATGATATTGGAAGCCAAATGAGCTAATGAGTTTACCAAGGGAGGCAGTATAGATGGAGAACAGTAGGGGACCAAGGACTGAACCTTGGGGGACACCAAAAAAGAGGACTTGGGGAGAAGCAGAGCCAGAGAAAGAAACACTGAAAGAGCATATCTGATGGAGCTTATACGCAACAGAGATATACAAGGGTTACTCCCATACTGCGGCAATTAATAACCAATTAGCAAGCGCTTAGCTATTACTTTATTATTTTCCTAGTTTACTGCGTGTAACGGATCACCTGGCACCCCGACTGGGTACCTCCGTTGAAAGATGCTCCTAGCGCTTCCAGAGGACTCCAAGCACTCCACCAGACACCATAAGCACCGCAGGCTGCAGCTATCTCCCTTCAGAACGAAGCAGGAACAAGCTCTTACAAGAGCTCAGTGATTATAGCAAGGGAATATGCCTAGCATAGCAATCCCTTGTAGCAGATTCCCCCAATAAGAGACAGGACTCAAGTTGAGGGTAAAAATAGAACTCTCTGGCTGCTAGCTTGCAGCCCTTTTTATTAGGTGCTCCCATGAAGGGGAGGGACACACACAGTAACATACATTAACCAATCACACAATAGTTACATCCCACACATAGCCCTCCCCTCTACCTGTAAACTAATTATCTGTACACACAGGAAAATACAATTATCATAGGTAGGGAAAATACAGTTTTTACACAACATTCATAACTCCCAAAATATACATCACATTCGCATAAAAATACATATTCACAATCAATCCATTCAGGGGAACAACATATTAAAAAATGGCATGAATCAGACCAGGGGTTCAAAAGTTAGTAAAAGTATCTTTTGTTCCCCCTGGCTCAAACAGTAAAAGTAAAACATCCCCACAATGCATCCTGGCTTCCTCCCTTCTGCCCTGGAGATAATTGGAGAAGGAATCTAATTATCTCCAAAGACAGAGCCAAACTCCATTACCCACATGGCAGACAAAAAGACAGTAAAAGACATAAAATTACATACTGACACATTTAGTACATAAAACACACATTTCTACATATCCCCAGATAGCTTGGATCTGACTGCACATTATTAGATGAATGGCACTCAGATCACACGAATAAGCCTTTCTGCAGGGAAAATAAACAGTTTAACCTGCAGGGCCATAGTCCAAAGGCAAGAGGCGGGCAAGCAGCCCCCTCCAAGGACACGTGGCGAGGTCGGTTTCGCCACACTTCTCCCCTTTGCCCCCCAGACTAACAGGGTATCTGACCTCCTGCCGGTCAGTGCCCTGGTTAGTCCAGCAACCCACCCACGAAGCACAAACAGCAGTACAGCCCACCCACAATAAATGTTTACTCCACCTGGATAAAGTAGCAACTTGTCCATGTCCAGGTGCCTCACCACGGCTGTGTGGGGAGCTGGTAGACTGCCTTGGTGGGTTGCTGAGTGGGCAGAGACCAGCGGTACTCTGCCCTGGTGCCAGTGCTACCACCGAAGTAGCCTGATTGGAGCCTGGTTGTGGGAGGGGGAGACCGACCGTCTCCCCTCTGGGTACACAGCTCTGGGGCTGGGGAACAGGACCGACCGTCTCTACCCCTTGGGCTGTAAGCGCAGAGACTACGGTCCCATCTGCACAGTTGCGGGGCTCAACATCTCCCCTTGGTGGGTTAGGCTGCCGCTGGAGAGAGGGTGTAACAAGCTCCTCTCTCTGGACTGTCAACTGCCGCTGGGGAGAGGGGTTAACAGGCTCCTCTCCCTGACACTCTCTCTGCTGGTGGAGAGGCGGACCAGCTGTCTCCCCTTTCATTATTTTGTCCTGCTGCTGGGGTGTGAGACTGACGGTCTCTGCTCCCTGCAGGACACACTGCCGCTGGGGAGGAAGGACGACACCTTCAGCTCCCTGGGGTACACACTGTCGCTGGAGAGGAAGGATTGCACCCTCAGCTCCCTGGGGTACACACTGCCGCTGGGGAGGAAGGACGACACCTTCGGCTCCCTGGGTTACACACTGCTGCTGGGGAGGACGGACGACACCATCAGCTCCCTGGGGTACGCACTGCCGCTGGGGAGGAAGGACGGCACCTTCCGCTGGGGCAGCCTGTAGAAAGTCAGGCTCAGGGGAAGGAAACAAGGGAGGACAGAGGCCAGCGGCGCTCTGCCCAGTTGCCAGCTCTTCTGCTGGGGGGTCAGGGAACAAAGGAGTTGGCTGGGGAGGAGAAATATCACTTACCTCCCCCTGGTACTCCGGCTGCTGCTGGGGGGGGAGGTCGATTCTCTCCACTTTCTGTAACTCCAGCTCTAGTTGGGGATCTGGGCCGGTTGCCCAGCATCCCTGTAGGGCCGGTGGAGAGATCTCGGTCCCATCTCCACCTGCCTGCAGGGGGTCCTCCCAGGACCAGTCTATGAGGTCCTCTACCTCGGGTACCTCTGGTTGCTGTTGGGGAGGGAGACCGGTTGTCTCTTCCTCCAATAACACATTCTGCCGCTGGGGAGTGAGACCGACTGTCTCCCCTCCCTGTAAAACATACTGCCGCTGGGGATCTGGGCCGGGTGCCCAGCATCCCTGTAGGGCCGGTAGAGAGACCTCGGTCCCATCTCCACCGGCCACCTCGGTTTCTTCCTCGTCCCACTCTACCTGTGGCTGGAGTTTCTCCCAACGTGCCCACTGGCCTTCCCTCAACGCCCTGTGTTGTAGGTTCCGGGTCACCATGTCCCACACGAACCGCACGTATTTCTCCTCTGGATTGGGTCCGTAAAACTTCAGGTGCAACCCTACCATCGTGCCAAACTCTAGTACGGAGTAGCTATACGCCATGCTTGCTGTAGCCACTGCTGGTTCCATTATGTTGCTGAAGATAAGGACGCTGCACAACTCCACACGTTACCGGTGTCTCCGAGCTGCTTCTCCTCGCACTAGGATGCCATCCCACCGCTTGCCACCAATGTAACGGATCACCTGGCACCCCGACTGGGTACCTCCGTTGAAAGATGCTCCTAGCGCTTCCAGAGGACTCCAAGCACTCCACCAGACACCATAAGCACCGCAGGCTGCAGCTATCTCCTTTCAGAACGAAGCAGGAACAAGCTCTTACAAGAGCTCAGTGATTATAGCAAGGGAATATGCCTAGCATAGCAATCCCTTGTAGCAGATTCCCCCAATAAGAGACAGGACTCAAGTTGAGGGTAAAAATAGAACTCTCTCTGGCTGCTAGCTTGCAGCCCTTTTTATTAGGTGCTCCCATGAAGGGGAGGGACACACACAGTAACATACATTAACCAATCACACAATAGTTACATCCCACACATAGCCCTCCCCTCTACCTGTAAACTAATTATCTGTACACACAGGTAAATACAATTATCATAGGTAGGGAAAATACAGTTTTTACACAACATTCATAACTCCCAAAATATACATCACATTCGCATAAAAATACATATTCACAATCAATCCATTCAGGGGAACAACATATTAAAAAATGGCATGAATCAGACCAGGGGTTCAAAAGTTAGTAAAAGTATCTTTTGTTCCCCCTGGCTCAAACAGTAAAAGTAAAACATCCCCACAATGCATCCTGGCTTCCTCCCTTCTGCCCTGGAGATAATTGGAGAAGGAATCTAATTATCTCCAAAGACAGAGCCAAACTCCATTACCCACATGGCAGACAAAAAGACAGTAAAAGACATAAAATTACATACTGACACATTTAGTACATAAAACACACATTTCTACATATCCCCAGATAGCTTGGATCTGACTGCACATTATTAGAGGAATGGCACTCAGATCACACGAATAAGCCTTTCTGCAGGGAAAATAAACAGTTTAACCTGCAGGGCCATAGTCCAAAGGCAAGAGGCGGGCAAGCAGCCCCCTCCAAGGACACGTGGCGAGGTCGGTTTCGCCACACTGCGTATTAACATTCTTAGCATACCTGTACATGGGTCCTGGCCCTGATCATGTACAGCTCTTGTCCCATATATGGTCAAATGGCTCTGAGGCATTTCCGAGATCGTCTGCCACAATATGACTATTTATGCTAATACAGCAGGCAGATTCCCACATCACATTAACCCCCCAAACCTGTCACACTCACCCCCTTCAACCATGCCAACTCATCTCCCATTGCTCTACCACACTCACCATATCACATTAACCCCCAATCCCGTCACACTCACCTTCTCTCTCACTGTCACACTCCTCTTCCATCTGTCAGGAACGTTTGGGAATCCTACACACAGAATGAAAATACTAGTAATGTATACCGGACCTTAGGATGGCCGGACTAACACTACACACACAAAGAATAGTCAAATAGTACCAGAAATCAGTCAAGGGTACCAGAAATCAGGATCAACAATAATGCAATAGCCGGGGTCAAAGGAACACAGAAGGAAGAATAGTCAAACATAGCCAAAGTCAGAATACAAGAATACCAATACAGAATACGCGCTCTTGGGTCAAACAAGAACTACAACAGTGCAATGAGTCTCTCCCTGGTTTCTCTTTAAATACTGTGTTCACTTAAATAACCACGCCCCCAAAACGTTCTCGTTCGAACACCTTGGATGGTTATGGTATTCTTAGCGTCATGATGTCGGCGCTCATTAGCCGCCTCATAAAAGGAGGCGGTTTATCGTGGCTGGCGTGAGAATCGCTAGGCACAAGCAGAAAGTTAAGAGTGTTCCCAGTACCCTGTAAAGAGATGCCAGCCTGTGACATGCCCCTGACTGATACACAAGGTATATATACACAAGAAAAAACAAACAAACCAATGCCCATGTAACGGAAAAGTGAAAATACAGCACTTATCTGAATAGATAGTGGTAACAGCTTCCTCCAGGGATATCCCAGCAATAATCCCTTAAATACTGTGTAGATATATACAAAAGGAGGATACAGCAAAATAATAGTGTAACACTGTTTAGTGAAATATAAATGCGCTGTGTAAAGTATAACTCACAAGATAGATGAATACAGAGTTATACTCTACACAGCGCATTTATATTTCACTAGTGTTACACTATTATTTTGTTTTATATTTCTTTTGTAGATCCGCAGCTGTATCCTCATTTTGTATATATCTGATACACAAGGTAACCTGACACCATCACTTTGTGACAGTCACCCCCTTCATCCTGCTACACTCACCCTTTTAAAATAACCCCGTAATCCTGACACACTAATTTTACCCAATCAAGCAACACACCCTGTCACATAAATCCCCTCCTAACCCTGTCATGCTCACCTCACCCTGTCACATTTCCTCCCCAAACCATACTACATTCACCCCAAACCTGTAATATTGACCCCCCAAAAAATGCCACACTCACTTGTCACATTAACCCCCTAATCCTGTCACACTTACCTCCCCGCTCCCTGATACATTCACTCCTCATTTATGTCACACTCACATCACCAACCATGCCACACTCACCCTGTCACATTAACCTCTCCTAATCCTATCACACTTACCTCCCCTCTCCCTGAAACATTCACTCCTCCAACCATGCCACACTTACCCCCCAACCCTGACACATGCACCCACACTCACTCTGTCACACTCACACCCTAATCCTGTTTCATTCACCTCTCTCGTCCTTTCACACTCACCCTGCCACATTTACCCCTTTACCCACCCTGTCACAGTCACCCCCTCAAGACAGTCATCATACACACACAGTCGTGAAACATAGGTTTGCCATGAACACAGTGCACAAAGTCCACAGGCAGTTCCCTATAGAAACAACACACTGCAAGGAGTTACCCCACACACAGCCTCAAACACAGACATACATTTGCTCACAGAGACATACATTCAAACACTCTCAGGCTAATACACAGGTAGACAATGCCAGACATTTTCAGAAATACACACAGCCCAATACACAGTCGTAAACTGCCCCCACAGTACTTACATGTGTCAGATTAACTGGCAATTTAACTGCACACAAAACTTGCCTGCCGCCAGAGTGTCACTTTGCCCCACAGAACATGCTGTGAGCAAACGTTCTGTGGCATTTATTAATTGTCAAACTTACTGTGGTATTTAGTAATGAGCAACTTGCTTGGCATGTGTTTAATGGGCAAACTGACAGTGGTATATTTTTTAAAGGAAAACTGCCTATGGCATTTTCTGTGGGGCAAAGTGACACTGTGGCAGCAGGCAAGTTTTGTGTGCAGTTAAATTGCCAGTTAATCTGACACATGTAATACTGTGTGGGCAGTGTGACACTGTGGCAAGCTATGTGGGGACAGGGTGACCCTTTTGCAGCTGCAGGGGATGGGGGGGGGGCACTGCGCCTTTTTGGAAAGTGTGCTGGTGCATTGTGATGCTGTGGCCAAATAATTTGGTTGTGCTGCGGAATTCATGGCAGAGCCGGGCTCATTCTCCAGGCCTCCGAAAATGGAGCGCCAAGAGGAACCCTGTCACAGGGGGCCCAGAAGGGCAGAGCAGGCACCTGCTTACCTTGACGGCAGTTGCCTGCTCTGCCGATAAATATCGGTGACCAGATGAGCCAGGAGAAGGCAGGTGGCGAGAGAGGCCCTCCTTGCAGCTTCCCACTCCTCCCTCACGTGCCCTCTCACGTGATGCCGGGAGCCAGAATATAACGTCATTCCGGCCCAGGCACACTAAAAAGCACACTGGAGGAGTGAAGAGCTGCCCGCACTGGACCCCAGGGAGGCTGGATGGGACTCAAAAAATAAAATTGGGTGAGTCTGTGTGTCAGTGAGCGTGTGAGTGTTTGACTGTCAGTGAGTGAGTGTCTGTGTGTGTCTGTCAGTGAGTGAGTGACACGAGGGGGCGGCAAAATGGATCTTTGCCTAGAGTGGCAGAAATTCTTGCACTGGCCCTGCTAACTTGCCTGCTGCTGCGATTGCTCATGGCTGCACAGCCAGATACAAAAGTGTAAAAAAAATCTATGTTTTGCACTGTCTGAGTACAGGGACAGCATCTATGCACCGACACAACTTCATTAAGGTTTAGTGGTTTTGTAGATTAGATTGTCCCTTTAACTGACTGTCATTTGTTTTTTTTTAATCTCAGTGTCTTTACCAGGAGATCTTATTCTTTGTGCTTTTTTTTTTTTTTTTTGAAAAAGTAACTGTGCCTTTTTTTGAGCACATAAAAATGCTCAAGCACAGTAGTTCCTCTCTACATACCCTAACAGCCGTCCAATATTTCTTCATGCTCATAGCTGGCTAGCTGGAAAATCAACATTGTGTGTAAAATCAACATTTTAAACTATGACTACTGTATTTGTATTCACTAGGAGTTCAGAAAGTCACAGTAGGAAGTTATTTTGGCTGACCTCAGCATAGGTACCAGGGTTTCATAAATACTGTTTATTACAGAATAGAAAAAAAGAGCTTAATTCGCTAAACAGACTTGTGAGTTGGCCAACTTTTGTATTCTTACATGTTGCAACCAAAATTGTTAAATCACTGTTTAGTGAGTAAAGGAACACGCCGAGCTCTGTAGCAACTATAGCACACTGAGTTTATCTCTATCAGGCAGTCAGCACAGTCCTCTTTCATGCTGTGTGCATGGGTGTGCAGGGGGACGTAGGTATGTTGTCGATGATCTTAAAGGGATACTGTAGTACCAGGAATACAAAGCTGTATTCCTGGCACTACTGCTCCCCCTGCCTTCCCCCCTTCCTTCCCCCCCACCCCCCATCTGTAAATAAAAGGTTAAAAACCCTTTATTTACTTACCTTTTCTCAGCACCGATGTCCCTCAGCGCTTGGGCAAAGCTCCACCCCCTCCTCTGTCCCGTGACAAGCGGGGTCTAATGCACATGTGTGCCAAATGCAGAGCGCGCCTTAGACCTTCCCATAGGAAAACATTGAATCAATTGAGACTTAGAGCTGCAATGTAAACATTGCTGGTCAGTGCACCCAGAACACTTCAATTAGCTGAAGTGGTCTGTGTGCCTACAGTGTCCCTTTAAATGGTTTGACAAATTTCTCTGGGAGGGCACTTTGGCACCATGACCACTACAGGGGTTGTTGTGGTTATAGTGCTTGGATTTTTCCCTTAAAGTACTTTTTATTTTTTTTATTTACCCGTTGTCTGCAACTTAATAAATAATAACAATGCAACATGTCCAGAGTGAAAGTTGATTTTCTTCGCCCCCATAATATATATCTGTGCTGCTTGTTAGAACCAAATATTTTATTTGACTTAATCAGTTTTGGACTGATAATATACTTACTAGTGCAACACATAAAGAGTTCTAAATGTGTAGACTAAAGCATTCAAAGCATATTTTTTTTCTTAATTTAATAAAAAGAGCATCTAAATTAATCTATAAAATGTAAGACAATTCTACCTGAAAGGTGCACCTCAAATAGTTCCCAAAAAACAAATATTTAGGAAGTGGGAATCTGCAGTCAGAAACCTATATTTCCACAGCACCTTTTGGACCCTTGAAACTATATATCCTGCAATTGAAAAGTTCCTCCTTCATATCCAATGATGGGAATTATGGTCTTGATTTAATAAGTGGTATAAATGCCTGCACTACTGCTGAATTCAGTTGTGTTTCGAAGTAAGTTTAAAGGTACATCATATTTAATATCACAACTTGTAGGCTGGCTTCTGACAATAACTGAACTCACCCAATGGATCAATTTCCCTGCGGAAGTACCTATATGGTAAGGCACCCAGGAAATAGCAGACATAAGCCTATAAATTATAGCTGCAGACGGATAAACTTTCAGTGTTTATATCTATAAACAGCCAAGACATCAAAAAACACAAAAATACACACGTGCTTAGTTCTACCAGACACTACATATGCCAAACATCAACATGCGCACCTGGAGCAGTGTAATTGTGTTCTCTGGAGTGATGGATCATGCTTCACTATCTGGCAATCTATTGGAAGAATCTGTAATAAAATGTTTCATTCCGTTTCCAGTTTGGGTAAAGTCCAGCTAAGTGTGCTAAATGTTTTGGGCTTTTGGGAAGAAATGTACTAAATGACGAACAGGCAGTTTCCAACCTGAATGTTATTAAAAATGTCAGAAATGGGACAAGATTCAGGCAAAAATATGATATTGACAGCAAATCTACACAATTGGGAAAGATTGTGCAAGTTGTTTTGCTGCTAATATTCAATACTTTACCTGTCATGAATCATTACTAAAGCCAAATGGCCAATGTTAGAACGTTTTCATGTTATGACTCCCTAACCCTCTGCTGCAAAGGATTACTGAAGGCATGGTCAATCACCTGTATTTTTTTACACAGATGAGCATCATTCTGTACAGTAATTCCAGCACTAACGAGCAAGGCGCCGTTAATGTGCATGAGATCATTTGCTGGAGATTACGAGGAGCTGTTTGTGAGTCACTAACCAACGGTCAACACTCGAATCCTTTTAACTTCACTAATTTGCGTTCTTATTTAACCATGAAACATTTTGATCTAAGCATTAGGCTGCATCTGTTACAGCCTGTCACTTTCTGACCCGTGATTAATTCTGAATTAGTCATGCTGTGGGCAATATGTGAACTGTGTACTTGTAAGACTTTTAGGGGCAGAAACTCCTGAATTATAATACACAATTAATTACACTCTCCAGTATTTGTTTTTAAAAACTTTTGCATTTTGCTATAATATTTTATGATTCATTTTTTTTAAACTTGCTTTGCAAGAACAACAATGATGGTAGATAAAGCTAAATGATGAATTAACTTTATCAAATTTGGTTACTTTCATTCAACTCAATTCTCTCCTGTTCAGATTTAACTGTTTTCCTCTTCCAACTAAACTGAATCCACATTGAGCCAAACTGATTCCCATTATGAGTAGTGAAATGTGTTGCATTCAGTTAAATCAGCTAGACTGTGACAACCATACTGCACTCACATGGCATTTGGCATTTAGTGTAGAAACCAACAGTTTTAGATCAAGCATGTCAAACTCACGGCCCACAATGAATATTTTTGCGGCCCGGCGAGCCGCGAGTTTGCCATGCTTACTAAGGCAGACCAGCCACCTGCTCTCCTTACATTGCAGGTGCTTACTCTGCCAAAATTACCAGGAAGGTAGGAGAGGTCCCTTGCGGCAGTGAGGGAGGTCAGGCTTCCTGCTCCTCACTGCTCCCTCACACGCGCCCTCTGTGATGCCGGGTGCCGGAATAAGACGTCATTCCGGCACCCTGCATGACTAAACTAGTGAAGACTGAGGTAAGGAGAGAAGATCAGGGAGAGGCCCCACACCAGCTACCAAAGGTAGGGAGCAATAAATAAAATGGTGCAAGAATGTGTAAATGTGTGTGTCTGTCAGTGTGTGTGTGTGTGTGTGTGTGTGTATGTCAGTCAGTCAGTGTGTGTATGTCTGTCAGAGAGTGTGTGTGTGTGTCTGTCGGTGTTGCGATGGCTGCAGCTGGACAGTGGAGGACCAGGATGTGCGCGGAGGCACACAGCACCACGTCACATTCTGACGTGACTTCAACAAGCTCCACCTTCACAGGTTTTCAAGGAGGAGCAGGAGGATCCGTTTGGCCCAAGATGCGGACGGCGCCATTCTTGCGGGTATAACAGAGGCTGGCTGAGAAAGGTGATAGGGGCTGAGGGAGGGGGACAGGGGCTGACTAAGAGGACAGGGGCTGAGGAGGGGGATAAAAAACAAAAACAAAAGTGTATTCCCCCCTTCCAGTAACGGGTGGGCAGCAGCAACCAGCATACAGCAGCAGTCAGTGAGTTCGGCCGGCCTCTCCTGATGATGTCAGGAGGAGGGGGCGTGGCTTCCTCTGCTCTTCCCCCAGACTCCCCAGAGGTCCTGTGAGAAGAGCAGTGAAAGTCACGCCCCCTCCTCCTGACATCATCAGGAGAGGCCGGCCAACTACACTGACTGCAGGCTGCAGGGAGAGAGAGGTAAGTTAAAAATCAGAGTCCCCAGCCAGAGGCAGGGCCGGAGCCAGAAGCAGGGGGTTCAGATTTATTTTTATTTATTTTTTGATGCATGCGGGCGGTCCTGGGTTAAGGGCGACCTGGGGGGCAATTGCCTCCCTGTCCCAGCCCGCCCCTGCATTACAGTGCTTGGAGTGTTCCTTAATGCTGGTGACAGAAATAAAACTTATAACCACTGACTGTCGCAGTTGATGCATTTCTTTTTTTTTCTGTGCTAAGTTCCCCAGCTCACGGTTCTTCTCCCTCTTTGTTTTATTTTCTAAAAGTATCAGTTTCAATAGAAATCAGCACTTTTATATATGAACACTAAAACACCATCCTGGCTGGCTGACAGATGGAGGTTGTTTCTTCCTGGTTGTTTAGCCCTGTAGAGCGATTACGTGGCCGAAACTGTTTGGTGAGCTGTAATACATCTAATTGAAAGTCAGATTGGACAACAATGTGCACATGCGACTGGTTGGCAAGGCTTCTCTATAAGAAACCTTTGATTGGATACTCTGCATCAAAAAACAAGCATTTTGTCTTTGGGGTATATCTACTAAACTGTTAAATAAGTTTTTTTCATTGTGTGTTCCTTTAAACGTTTTTCATGCTCTATTTTCTTTTAAATTAATATTAACAGAACTCTTTAAGCACCATAACAACTACAGTGTGATTGAAGGGATGGGTGGCTGCACTTGTACTTTTGAAAGATTGCATGTAGAGGGCGCCACCCACTTGTGTTTTGTGTTTTTTGTATTTGTATTGATTTGGTGGAATTGAGTGATTAATTTCCCCAGAGGGATTGGTGGCACCTTGTTAGCGCCATTACAGGTTGCACATTATTTTTTCTATACTGTCTGCATGATTGCTTGCCTTAAAGGACCTCCATATGGCTATTTCTACAATGCCATTACAGAACCATCAAACAATAGTCTGGTCTTGCCAATCCCAATAAGAAATGACAGCACTTTGTGATGGCTGTCATATCCAATGCAAAAAAAGTGTATAAGTTGGGGCAAAGTTGGCAGCCATCACCAACAGGTTAATAAAAGCACAGTTTGATTTATTATTATAATTTTATTCATCTCATTAGCAAATATGATATAAACAATTTGAGTGCTGAAGTGGTCATCAAAGCAATGCACACAAGATTAAAGATGCCAAATTTTTAGATATTTGTAAAAAGTTGATCTTCATTTGAGTAAGCCAGGGAGTTTTTCGGTCTGTGATTTACTTAGTGCAATGAATGTTTATATTCCTCCAATTTAGAGATGGGTCGGACCACTCCCAAGAGGCAGAGGCATGAGTCATTCTTCCACCCTTCTTTAACTCTTGCATGCAAGTTGTGAAATTCCTGAGGTTTGTTTTGGTCGTATTTACCACATTTTATTGCTTTGTTGAAGGGAGAACTAATTCAGTAAATCTATAGTGTAATAAATGCATTTTGACCTTATAACTGCAGAGTTTGGCAAACAGACAAAATGGACACGAGAAAACTATTAGAGCTCTGTGGGGTGCTCTGAAAAAAATGAGTGAAAATATTTAAAAGTACTCGTGGTTCTAAAGGATGCTGATGCTGTTATCCTTTTTTTTCCAGTGAATTGTGCCTCTGATTCAGTGAACCATTATAAAGTCTAAGCCCCCACCAGCTGTGAACCGCAAGCATTACATTTTTTACTTCTTTATTTATCATCCTTTATATTCGCTGTGAGGATAAATCTTGGTGAGTGCACTTGTCTGAATGGTCTCTAATCAGAGAGTACTACTTGTTCTGTAAAATGAATACCGTAGTGTTAGGAATACAAATGTGTGCCCTGTCAGCCCTTTAGGTTCCTGACCCGCACCTGTAGGGTAACTTACCTCTTCTCCCTAACACCCTTAGACTCTGCTGACATCTCACCTCTTTGACTGAGATCTTCGATCTTGCTTCCCATAGGTAAGCATTTTAGGAAAGAGCTGATTGAAATAGCAGCGTTTTACTCTGCTATTTCAGCTAAAGCACCTCTAGTGGCTGGCTGTGAAAGTAGGCTTTTTTATTTTTTAGAGGTTAGATTTTATTTGCTATGCCAAGTAAAATCATAACTGCTTTTTATTTGTTGTTTATAACTTCCTTTTTTTTTTTGGAGAAGAAAATGCTTGTTTCAGATATTTGTCATTTAACTTTGGCAGGGAAGAGCCCACATGCTTTAAATTCTGGTGTAATCTCTGTTTATTTTGTGAGAAGGATTTTGAAATGTATGTTTGTTTTCTTTGTCCCAGAACAGCCGAACCAGTGCCACTCCTAAACTAATCCCAAAACCAAGAAACCCTCCTTAGCTCCTAACTAATTTGTTTACAGCATTATTTAATGTGAGGAGAAGATTACATTGTGTGTTTTATTTATTGCCACTTGCCAATAACCAAGTATAATTGCTACAATGTTTTCAAGAACTAATTTCAGTGTCACAAATGCACTTGCTTTAATAAAACATTGCAACAGTGTGTGTGTTTATATGTATATGTGTGTGTGTGTGTATATATATATATATATATATATATATATATATATTTCCTATTATTATTATTATTATTATTATTATTATTATTATTATTATTAAATACTTGTATATGAGATCAGATCTTCATTCTTAAAAAGTAACTTACACCTTCCTTATTATTTAAAATATTGTCTTTTATTAAAAGGTCTCTCATAGGTAGGCAGGAGCATTTTATTTCTACCTTTACAATTAAAATACCTGTAGGTATTCGGCAGTAGGAGCTGGAACCACAAATAGTCAAAATAATCAAAATGTTGAGGCTTATCAACAGGGGCATGCTGGGTGGTTTGCCTCTATCTTTGTTGCAAAAAAAGAAGAAGAAAATAAAATTTGCAGGAGTGGGAATGACTCATAATTATGTGTTGGAATAAAAGCATGTTCTTTCTATCATGATTATACATGCAGTTGCTATTCCTCACGTTATTGATTGGTGGAGTTGTTGCCGAGAGGCTTGGCAACTAATCATGTGAATATTTTGGTTTGTGTATAATTTGTATTTTGTTTTTTGTCATTTGTAAAAAGTTTTTTAAAACACCCATTTTCTGATTATAGACCCCCTCAGACACACTTTGACTACTCTAACTGGTTTTCTGATGTGATCCATTGTCTTTGCAAGGGGGCTGTCAGATCCTGCCTTACCTAAAATACAGATCTGCATATTATCATAGGACTGTCACTGGGCAACATCATCAGTTGGTGGACTTGGACCTGTTTTTAGTGTTTTTTTGTTTCCCAAATACATGTATCGATAGGTTTATGGTTATGAACATCTCAATGGGTCAGGAGTTGAGTATTTTCGTCTAAGAGCACAGAACCAAAAAAAAGTCAGAAAGGACAGTGTCCCCACCAATTTTAAACTTCGCTAACCACCACTGGGTGGAAATAACATGTATGCCATCACATCATTGCATTATCATGACATTCCATAACATGTTATTAAAAATGTCTACTCATATGCAGCTTGTGTACTACATATTGTATATTGATCAATATCACTTCAGGTTGTGTTCTGACTGCTCCAGCATCAATAAAATATACTTCCAGTATTCTGAAGGTTTAGTTTTCTTCTGAACATCATGACATGCTGGATGGAACACTGTTAATTGTGGTCCTTGGCATTGGTGATCTACACAACAACAGAGATCAGTAAGGCAGAACCAGCACAAAATTCCAAAAGATAAAAAAAAAAAAAGACGGTGTAGATTGCGACAACGCCACCTAAGATTACCAAATGATGTGGAGGGGAAGTTAGTTTTAATTATACTTTTGTGGGCACCACATTTCATTTTATAGAAATCAACGCTAAATTGTTTGTAATCAGCATTACGCATGTTAAGCATTCCTAAATGGTCAGTATTGTCAGAACGAAGTTTATTGTAATGAGTGTTATACAGAAGTATACAGTGCACTTATGTTATGCTTAAGGAGTACTTCACAATTCGTAGCCGTTAGGACAAGATGGCTCCTAAGAAATGGCATCTTACAGGTTTTTATAGGATGAAGTTTATTTATTTGAACATCTAATTCTAAGACATGTTGAACGTTCACCTACTTGTACTGAAATAGTCTGTGTTGTTAGTTTAGAATTTTATAGTTTTTTTTTTTTTTTCTTTTTTCTTGCAGGTGACTCAGGGCAAGGAATAAAGTCATGGATCAGGGAAATCTTAAAGCAAGATCTTGCGTTTGAACACATAAAGGTTATATTCCCAACCGCTCCATCCCAGTAAGTTTCATCAGTAACATTGTATTTACTTTGGTTTTATAATGGTATGTTCTAAAAGTTGTACATTTTTGTTTTCTTTTTTAAAGCCACAAATGATCAAATATGACAGAAAAACTTACTTTTTGGTACCATTTGGCTACTACAATAAATTAGTTTAAATTAAATACTTAAATCTCTACACTCAATCCTCTGCCAAATTAAAATGAGAAAAAAAAGGTAACAGTGACCACTAATCACTTGAGATCGATCTTATAATGAAGCCCCTCTTTATATAATTAAAGGAGATGCTAATTTTTTTTTTCCTCATTCCACTTAGTTGTTTTGTAAATCATAAACATGCCTCATTGCAGGGGATCAAGTTTGTGATGTATATTAAAGCATACTACAGCCAGGGCCGGTGTTCCATCAAAGTTCCCTACTTGTGAAAATCCCCTACCTTCGTCACTTCCGGTGAGGGAAATCCGCTGGATCCTGTGCTGCACATGCGTGCTAGCACACCTGCTACTCTTCCAGAGCAAGGTCCCGGAAGGTAAGTAAAGCTAGTTTTACACTTTCATTATAGTTAGTGCATTCACTAAGCTTAGGCACACGGGACATTTAGGGTGAAGTGAGAGTTCAAATTAGGGTTAGGTAAGTTATTTTAAACTCTCTCACACTCTTTTCTAACCCTAACCGTTGGGGTAAGGGTTAAAATAAAGTGTGAAAAATCCCTTAACCTAACTCTAATTTTAACCCTGACATCACCCCTAAATGTCCCATGTCCTAAGCTTAGTGAATGCACTAACTATAATGAAAGTGTAAAACTAGCTTTACTTACCTTCCAGGACCTTGCTGTGGAAGAGTAGCAGGTGTGCTAGCACGCATGTGCAGCACAGGATCAAACAGATTTCCCTCACCGGCCAGGGATTTTGATGGAACACTGGCCCAAGACAGTGTGCTGCTTGGGTCCAAAACCACACCCACCAAAACATGCCCACATCCGTCATGTTACATCATGATAATTAAACTTAAAGGGATACTATAGTCACCAGAACCACTACAGCTTAATACAATGGTTCTGGTGTCTATAGCCTGTCCCTGAATGCTTTTTAAAAAGCATTCAGCGAGCCACTAGAGGTGCTTCCAGGGTCAATTGATTTTATGCATCTCTTTGAGAAGATGCTAACTGGGACAGCGTGGCATTTTGCCGCACATGCACAATAGCCTCCCAATGCTTTCCTATGGAAAAGCATTGCATTGGTTGAGACAATCCAAGGAGGCAGAGGACTTCAAGCAAAAACTACTTGGAAATAAGTCATTAAACTTCACATGTATCATATTAAAGCAAGGCTAACACCTTAAAAATAAGTATTGTAGTACTATGAAGTGCCTAGTAATGTTGCACTTAAGGTGTAGCAAAAAGTAGAATGCTTTGTCATAATCTATTGACCATATATTTGCAGTTCTCTAATCAAAGAGAATGTCAGATTAATAACAGAAATTGATGTATCAGAAACAATGTGATACACTGATGCACTGCCTTCCAATGAAGTAACAAAATCTCTGAAATTTAAATGGTAAATTGTGAATTAAAGCAAAAACAAAGTTCTAAACTGCATATTTGACAGCAATAGGACATGGAGCAGTTACTTCTTCAGAGTGTCTCAGAGTGAGCAAAGTAAAACGATTCCACCAGAGAACAGTTGCAAAGTATAGGAAAATTTGTGTCCTGCACTATTTCACTTCCCCTTTAATTAACTATTATCTTTAAAACTTACAGTAACTTCTCCAGAGTATCTCAGAGTGAAGCAGTGTTAAACAATTCTACCAGAGAACAGTTGCAAAGTACAGGAAAGATTGTGCCCTGCACTATTACACTTCCCCTTGAATGAACAGGAGTATCAGTAATCCAGTTAATTCAGACAGTTTTACTGAGCCTAGCCACTATCTCCGAGATAGACCAGATATAACTACTGATAAGTATAACTTTGTGAAAGTGCTTTCATGACTTAATGTTAGAAGGGTTATCCCTTTATTATTAGGAGTTCCTGGATTGTCCTCTGAGAGATCACTTATATTATGAAACTCTTTTTCATGTTCTTTTAGTAACACACACACAAACTGCTAAAGTCACACGCAAACTGCCTAATATGTGTGTGCGCGCGCACGCACACACACACACACTCTCATTCACAACAGACATACACTGTATAATGCATACACAAACAAATTACCTAATACACACACTCACACTAAGCAGCCCTCCCTCATTTCTTATCTACTTACTGGGGGGCCGAAAGCACAGAAAGGAGCACATTGTAGGTACCGAGCAGCTCCTGGAAGTTGCTCCTTCGCGGGGTCCTGATCTTAAGAAGGTATGGGCTGTCCATATCCTGCCTGCTCCTCACTCAAACCCCACCCATATGTGCTCGTGTGGGGGCGCTCCAGACAGACCGTAAACCTGCTGAGAGTGCCCACTCTACCTAACTGAAGCTGGCAACATAGAAATCAGACGTTTGCTCATGGGAGTAGTGTGATACACACAGTATAAGGACTTGCAGGTGGAGCAAAATGTCACCTCTGTAAAAGTGCCGCCTGGAGTCATGGTCCCACTGGGACCTATGCACAGGCCGGCCCTGACTACAGCCAAAGGTCCCAAGCACATTGCATCTGAGAGAGCAGCATATGAAGAAAATAACTATTCATGTATTATGTAAATGATGAAAGCTGATTGTTTGTTGCAGGAATATAACAAGGCTACTAACCTAGCTCTCATTGTTTCCTGTTTCCACACATCCCACGTGTCTCTAAACAGTGTTTGACTTATTGAACAAAATATTGACTGTGTTTGCATGCTTAATTACAACTGGCTATCTTTTCAATTGAACCATAAATGTTCACTTGGTTAATGCACCTGCTATAATTTCTGTTCAAACCTCAGTTGCACAGATCCCATTCCTTCAGGTTTCATTCCAACTGAATGTTAATTAACCCCTTAAGGACCAAACTTCTGAAATAAAAGGGAATCATGACATGTCACACATATCATGTGTCCTTAAGGGGTTAAAGGAAGTATCATCACTTCAGTCACATCCACAGAGTAACTGATAAGAAGAAACCCTAAACCGCATGCAAAGGTGTCCACCTGAGTATGGCTTATCAAATACAGTAATATTATAGGTCAGCAAAGGGAAATTGAAACCCTCATTGCCCAGACATCCACAGATGCCTCACATAGCAGATATCCGATAATAATAATTTAATCAGGTCCTGACTGGAATATAGAGACGCAATTTTTTTTTTTTTTCAATCTGTTTCTGGGCAAAGAATTAATCAGTTCAAAATCTAACTTTGTATAGCCTTTGTTAAAGGGATTGTTTTAATAAAATGTTACCATTTATTTTTAATCCATGAAAAATATTGACAAAAAATAAATTAAACATTTTAAAAACCAAAACAACTATTTACACACTAGGATGGGACACTTCAATCAGAATCGTTCACTGATCTTATTCCATAATCTCTGTCCATCAATAGTTTATTTCCAAGGAGCAGTGCCATTCATTACTTGCATTTTGTTTTACTATTACCAAAGGAGAGGAGGCAAAGTGATTGACATATATTAGTTAAAACGCCTTAAAAGCTGCTGGACTGTTTTAAAGAGCAGGTAGTAGGAAATATGTAAAAGCACCAAGGTATGTATTGTAGCATTCCTCTTACATATGTTAAGAACTACAAACTTTACATGTGGGTGATGCTAAAACCGTTGTGTACATTGTTAAAACACATTTTGCACCAATGTGTTTGACCTAGTATTAAAAACGTACTCTTTCTTTCAGTATTAATATAAATTCTTGAGTCAAACCAGCACTATTTCTGGTTCTTTTCTTCCCAAAAGTGAGGAAAGAAAAGTCAACATATTGGGTTTTTTAGACCGACATTAGTTTTTGGTATTAGCACTTACTGTTACGAAATGCCGTGTCTTACTTCCAGCTGCCTGCATCAGCGTTGTACAAAATATGCAGGCACTGGTGGGAGCTGAAATGGGATGTTGGCCACGGGTTTCCCTTATGACTTTTATTGCTGGTAAGAGCCAGAGGGCCATAAAAGTGTGAACTCAAGGCCAAAAACTGCCAGTAACTTGCAAAAATGGTCTAAGCCAAATTCCTATATCCAGTTACCAGCAAGAGAGATATTAATCACTCAATTTACTCTAAAGAACACAGAATGGTGTTGCTTAGCTGTTTTTACCGTAGACACATGGCACAGACATTATAAAGTGCGTAGAACCTCTAACTGAGAATTCAATGCATTTGAAATTACATTTTGTCCAAACATGCTACATATTGTTGCCAATAATGTTGAGGTTTATCAACATATGTCTGGAAGTATAATCCAGATATTTTGGGAAGGTTATAATCCACAATTTATACCACAACTTTGTTTAAACTGTTTTTGTTTAAATGTTCTTATAGTTTATTAATAATTAGAATTCTTCAGTATTTAAATGTTTTCATTTTTTTAAAGACTTAATGTGATGACCATTTTAACATAACCTACAGGAGTTGTATTTTCCATAATGACTGTAAATCTGTTGACAAATCATTGTTGGAATTGTTGTTGAACAAATGTGTTCTGTTTTATAATAGTTGTTAAAAACATTTAAAAAATACACACAAAAAAAAAACCATAGTACTGTATTAGAAAACTGATATTAACACTGGACGGGGGCAATAAACAGGCCCAAGCACATTCTGCACTTTTCTCCAAATGTACCATAGTCCCAGGCACATTTTGCACCCCTATTTTACCTTTCCTCAGTGATGTACTAGGGATGAGTATATTGTTTGTTTTTTTGTTTTTTTTAACAATCTACTCCTAGAGCTATAAATTACAGTGGTGCTTGATCAACACCATATTATACCTCCCTAAATTAGGAAATATGAAATTGGGACAGGGTGGGCAGCCCACTATGGATGTTTGGTTGCTTGTGACACCTTTCACATTACTAATTGCCTGTAAAGGGATGGATTGGATCCAAAAGGGAGGTGTGTTTACCTGGCATAAATATGCACCAGACTGACCACTCATGGCTGCCGATGGGCAGAGTGCTCTTCCCATTGTCAGTTTGCAAAGCACGAGTTTATCAAATGATGCATTCACACTGAGCTTTCTGGGAAGCTGGTCCCAAGTGTGCCTACAAAACACGGCACCAGAGACCAAATGCATCCAAAATTCTGTTCTGTCCTGCCTAAAGCAGGACGGTTGGGAGGGAACGCCATATATGGGAACTGTAGGTGCCTATGCTGTTTCCTGCACCATCTTCTGTGATCATGTAGTTTCAGCTAATATTGTGAAGCCTTGTATGGTAGCAGAGGCATAACTAGAATCCACCAGGTCCCAGTTGCGAAAATTGCCATGGGCTGCTCTATCCCATGTGTCTCATTCCCGCCCCCCCTCTGCCGTTGTCTCACTCACTCTCCCTTCACCGGTGCCTCATTCCCCCTGGTGTCTCATTCCCTCGACCCCAAAGCCCCTCCATGTGTCCCATTCCCTCTGCCCCACAGCCCCTCCATGGGTCCCATTCCCTCAGCCCCTCCATGTTTACCATACCCTCCTTCCTCCCAGCCCCTCCATGTGTCCAATTTCTCCCTCTCTCCCCCTCTCCTCCATGTGTCCCATTCCTCCCTCCCTCTCTCCCCCTCCTCTCCATGTGTTCCATTCCTCCCTTTCTCCTCCCTTTATTCCCTGTGTCCCATTCTTCCCTCTCTCCTCCTCCCCTCCCTTCCATGTGTCCAATACCCTCCCTCTCCCCCCCATGTGTCCCATACCCTCCCTCTCCCCCATGTGTCCCATTCCTACCCCTCCCCCCCCCTCCTGTACCTGGTTGGCCGCGGTTCCCGGTTTAACAGGAAGTGCTCTCAAAGTGAGCACTTCCTGTCAGACTGCTCGGCCACACTACACCCTGTTCCAAATTATTATGCAAATTATATTTTTCTCATTTACCTAAATAATTGATGTTAATAACAGTCAGTATAATTCTCATGTTATCAACTATTAAGAGTACAATTCAAATTTTATTTAACAAACCTCCTAATGATAACAGTATTTCTTTTAAACATAAAAAAACTTGCACTGCACTGTTCCAAATTATTACGCACATTAAGTTTGAAAACACTTTATAGGTTGTAAAGAACTGAAAATTGTCATTTGTTGTGTTTGCAGCATATTTACTGAAATCAAAAGCTATTTCAATCAAACTTATAACAACATTTTAACTTTTTAAACATTTTAACAGGTCACGTTACATTTAACATAGGACCCCTTATTTGATAGCAGCTTCACAAGTCTTGCATCCATTGAACTTGTGAGTTTTTGACAGTTTCTGCATGAATTTGTTTGGAAGATGTCAGAATAGCCTCCCAGAGCTGCTGTTTGGATGTAAACTGCCTCCCACCCTCATAGATCTTTTGCTTGAGGATGCTCCAAAGGTTCTCAATAGGACTGAGGTCAGGGTAGGATGGAGGCCACACCATGACTTAAAAACTGCAACCTGAGATACCTGAGATCTGTTCAGAAAGCAGCACAATTATTTGTAGCTGTATGAAAGAGCAAACTGTGGCTAGGCAGTAAATAACTCTGCATGGTTCTATGATGTAAATGGCAAAATGGAGAGCTCTATTGATCTCCTCAGTTGGCCGTTGACTGACTGACATAACCCGCCACTTATTAAAAATGATTATATCTTTTCTGACTATATTCAGAAAAAAAGAAAAGCATGGCCACTGATTTTCAGTAGGACCAGAAGTGCAAAATGTAATCAGGCTTCTTTTATTGACTTTCTGTTGTCCCCTGTCACTCTTAACTGACACAAAGGCCTAGCAAGTGCAAAGTAATATCAAACAAAATAAAAATGTCCCTCTCTCCTTTAAAGGTATTGCTTAATTCTCTACCTTATTATGTATTTGTCCACCTTGGCTCAATTTGTAAGCAGTCTATTTATTAAGGAGTCTATATCTTTTAATTTGATTAAATGCTCCTGTAGTGGTTATAGTGCTAGGAGTGCTATGGCACATGCCATTGTAAGTAGTCCGTTTTAGAACTGTTTGATGTTTGTATCTTGGGGTTTGCCAGGTGTCACTCACTTCTTCCTCCTGCAGGCTTTATGGAACCTGAAGCTTTAGCAGTGTTAGTAGAGATGTCCCTTGGCACTTCCTCTAAAGTCAGCCAATGGGTGGAAACAAATGTGTTTTCGCTTGGCAAGCACTGTGCGCTATAAACCTTCCCTATAGGAATGCATTGACTCTATTATTTCCTATGGGGTTTTTCGACACGCTCATGCAAAGTGTAAGGACGCCCAGAGTCGTTTCACTGAGTGAAAATCCATGAAACTTCAGAAAGCACCTCTAGTGGCTGTCTGATAGACAGCCACTAAAGGCAGTCTTAACACTGCAATGTAAACATTGTAGTTTTTCTAACATTGCAGGGTTAAGGGAAGAGGGACACTGCACCCAGACTACTTCAATGAGCTTAAGTGGTCTGGGTGCCACTGCCAATAGTGTCTCTTTAAAGGGACACTCCAGGCACCCAGACCACTTCTGCCCATTGGAGTGGTCTGGGTGCCAACTCCCAATACTCTTAACCCTGCAAGTGTAATTATTGCAGTTTTTTATAAACTGCAATAAATACCTTGCAGGGTTAACTCCACCTCTAGTGGCTGTCTACTAGACAGCCACTAGAAGGCACTATCTGCTCTATAGCACAGAAAACCTGTGCTAGAGCGTCGCTGGACGTCCTCACACTGTGTGAGGATCTCCAGCGTCGCTCAGTTCCCCATAGGAAAGCATTGAAAAGCATTTTCAATGCTTTCCTATGGGGAGCTCTAATGCGCATGTGCGGCATTGCCGTGCATGCGCTTTAGGTCTCCTCAGCTGGTGGGCGGGATCAGTCTCGCCCACCGGCTGACGTAATGCCTGGGAGGAGCGTCGGCGAGAAGAAACCACCGCAGAGGGACAGGGTCTCAGGTAGGTGATCTGAAGGGGTTTTCACCACTTCAGCTACCGGGGGATGGGAGGTGGGAGGGAGAGGGGACCTGCAGTGCCAGGAAAATTGATTGTTTCCCTTTAAATAGCATTTTTATAATTCTTCATAAAATGTTTCTTCCTTTTGAGAGAAGAAATATAAATATTTAATTTGAGACCCTTGATTTATAGCACTAAGAAGATATTCTGCAGCACTGTACAGTATGTGGACTAACAAATAAATAGTTACAAGACAGTTTAGGTGTACAGAAACAGAAGGTGCTGGGGGCCCTGCTCAAACAAGCTAACATTCTAATGGAGTAAAATGACACAGGAGGTAAGAGTAACATGTTTTCATACGTGTTGGTTTCTAGAAACATTTACAATAAAGATTTTTTTATTTTTTTTAGATTACATCGTGCCCATAGCTGAGCTAGATTTTTAAATTTTATTTTATTTTTCTAATCCGCTATTTTTGTCTAAATTTTTCAATTCTGTTTTCACAAGGGTATAATTCAATGTTTAACATTTTCTATGTAGAAATCTGACCTTAAGGATCTTATTTGACTTGCATTACCTAAATGGTGATTAAATGTATGACAAACTATCAGTTTGTTTAGAGAAAAAAAAATTGCACAAAATATGAACAGTTTCTAATGGTACTTTTCTTAAAAAAAAAAAAAAAAAATTCTGAACACATAATCTTTGTCTTTGACCGATTTCCCCCACTCAGAACAAGCTGAACAATCCCAACTGTGACTGGGATTCATGATCCTAAGCTTCGTTTACATTTGAGGTTTTTAGAAGAATTTTTGGCTGTACAGTTACTGATTTGTACGAAGATCTTTTTCTCACCAACCAAGAGTCTTCTTTCAGCAAAATATACTACATTACTGTTTTTCTAGAATTGCAAAATGTTGTTGATTGACTAAAAATAGCATTATTAATGCACACTATTAAGTGTACATGATATTGCTAGTCTTGAAGAACCTAAAATAAATCTTTGCAGAAGTGAGGTTATTCCATTTACAGCACTGTAGGAAGTCTGATCTATTTGTCCTTACTTAACTGTCAAGGTAATATTATAAGGACATTTTATTTAAAATCATATTGTATTATAATTAAAAAGTGGACAATGCTGACAAATATAATAACGAATGGTGCTAAATAAGAGGAATTAAAATAAATTGGCTTTCGGCCAAGGGCATCCTGAATTTTTGGTTTCGGCCCAGAATTTTCATTTTGGTGCATCCCTGACAGTAACATAATCTATGGAATAAACGTAACATACAAAGTATTAAAAAAAATGTATAACCGCTATATGTCGAAGTACCAACAGCCACTCAAAAAGTGTGCCCTCCAAACACCAAACTAGAAATTAAACATACAAACAAGTAGGGTGTTGTAACAAAAAGTCTTCTCAAAATTGGAGATTATACCACTTTAATAGATAAACCAGAAGAAAATCCAGATATCTAGAAAGGAAACGAGATCAACAAAGGGTAATATAGTTTAAAAAGTGTCAGCCTGCAGTCTACAGATTACACTCTCGAGAGGTAAGATGAATTCAAAACAATCATGTAAATTCCAACAGGAAAGTAGTGTACAAGTCTGAGGAAACATGTATCTTTATAATTTGCAATGGAAACAAAAGGCAAAAGATAGTGCAGATTGGAAAAATACAAAGATTGTATTTACAGAAAAGTAGTTAAAATTCAGCATGTCTCTGGATATAGCAGATCTATGTGAAGTGGAGTCCCGGGACAAACAAGCCCAAAGAGTCTTTTGAGGTTAATGCTATGCTTTTCATCTGTGAAGACAAAACGCGTAGGATCCTGAAGAAGTCTTCACAGACTTTTTGTTTAATTAAACGTAACATTTCACTTTAAAGCATCCAGAAATTAGCAACAATTAATATTATCTTCTAACCCCTCTCCTTTGTGTCTCATAGACCTTCATCATAGACTCTCTCTCCACTTTTTTGCTAACTACTGATAGACTTTATTCATGCTCACCAAAAATATAATTTGTAAAAGCAAGGAAAATTTGATTTTAGAGATTAGACAGATTTTTTAAACCTTATAATATCCACAAGAAATGCAGCAGTGATTTTCCTCAAGTGCATTTCTTATTTCTTGAGGGAAAAAGCATGTAACCCTTGCATGCAAATGGACTGTGTATGCCAGACACACAGCCTTCTCTGAGTTGTTTTAAAATGTGAGAACTGTTTGTCATGACGGTTTCTGATCAATGTACATTTACTAGGCAGTAAAGATGCATGAACCATCACCCATGTAATGAATGGTGTTCAGAATAAGCTTTATGCACATTGGTGATGCTGTCCTGCAGCTCTTCTGTTAGCAAAATCCACACATTTTTCACACAAAAGTGGACATTGTGAGCAAAACTTTTTAAACTGATCACAAAACACGTGAATTTCTCATAAGTTGTTTTGCTGCTTAGAGAATCCTTTTAAAACGATACATCTCTGCATTAGGACACTCGGATTTTACATAGTTACATAGGCTTTGTCAAACATGTTTTTTTCTGTTAATTTAAAAACTTTTCTTATAGAATTGTTGAATATTGCATATACCTATACTTTTTTTTTAGCAAAGCACTGACCTATTTCAAAGCATTTAAAACAATAATACATTTTTTGGGTGATAAAATTTGGTTGCTAAACTTTTAAACACATTTCTACTCTACCCCTCAACTCCCCCATGCTCCTCCTGGCTGTAAATACCTTCATATAACTGTTCTATCTCCATCTCTATTCTTCAGGCCTCATCTCACACTCCTACTCACTCATAGGAACAGCGATTGTGATTTTTTTTTTCTCTCCAATTACCGCCCACCCACCCCAACTTCCCGCCCACCCAGGTTCCCCCTAAATATATAGCATGCTCCTCCAGCTGTTTGAGATTCTCACTCAATTACCTCTTCATTCCCTTTACATTTTACAAATAGCTGCTTCTCTCTGTTATCTCTTTTAGCCATCACCTCCACATTTCCCCTGCTACCTTTTGTCTCAAATCCCCACGTTATCCTTTAGATTGTAAGCTCTTGGGCTATCTAGCTAAGCACTTTGTATCAAAGAGCTTTGATGGCTAGTCATCATCTTACGGGCAGGGCTCTCTCTACCTCTTGTATTTGTCTGTGCATATTGTACGTTTTCTCCACTAATTGTACAGCGCTGCGAAATCTGTTGCCACTTTATAAATACCAGTAATAAATTAATAAAACATCCATATGTTGATACTGTACAAGGTGACTTGCAAGTATACGAAACAAAGAGGACTATCCAAACATGAGCCATAAGAGTTCACAGGTATGTATTTATTTGTGTGAGATACTTTATAAAGTAGGTCACTGAGGGTCATTACTTTTCCCCCAAGCTGATCGAGTTTTTCTTTCTAATTAAAGACTTATCAGTCATCGTGTAGTTATCAAGTAGCATATCTTCCCCCAGGTTATTTTTATTTTGGATATTTTGTGCAAAACTCTTTTGTACTGCAGATATATTGGAAAAATTATACTTGGCTCATATTTTTGTGTTATAAGCTGAAACCACACATGGTAACTGCATCTGAGGCCTTGTACCCAATAAACAGTGTGGTCCTGTGTTGACATAAAACAGATCCTCTTAAGTAATGCCTGCTACAGTTTGGTACCAGTGCACAAACAAAGAAGGTTTGTCAAGACATGCCTGTTTTTATGGCATGAAATGTAAATAATGGGAGCTTGTGTTGTCATAAGAAAACTGAATTTATGTTTTGTTTCTTTTTTTTGTTTTTTTTCCAGTCTCTCTTTCCCCTATATTGAAAACATATGCAATTACCCTTTGAAAACCTGTTTTAGGTAGCCAAGGTAAAAAATGATCTGTATCAGAATAAAACAGCCAAGGGGTGATATTATCAATTTTAACTCCGAACATGCATAGCCAGTCACAGGGTGTAAGTCTATTGCATTAGTGGTTCATTTTTCTATTATTTTATAACCTTTCATTATTTGTTCTGTTAAAACATATCTAGAATACTATTCGGTTCATTTTTATGATCACTGGGCTCTGCTTGGACCAATGTGTGTTGTAGGGCAGGATGGTCATCATATTGTGATATTAAGATTACGCAACAGAAATGCAATTGCACGATACAGAGCTCTCCGAGTGCACTTTATATTGTGAACACTGAGGCTAGGGGTGACATAAGATTATGGCGTTTAGAATTGGAACCTTGGGATTAGGGGTAGTTTATATGAGATGAATTGAGAAAGGACTTAAAGGGCTGATGTCACCTCAAGAGTATTTTAATGTAATAATCATTGAATCAAAATTTGAAAGGAAAAATATTTTTTAAATTAAAGGACCACTATAAGCACCTAGACCTCTTCAGCTCAATGGGTGCTCTAGTTTTAACCCTGCAGCTGTAAACATAGCAGTTTCACAGTGAGAAGACGCTGCCGTCCATAGGAAAGCATTGAGAAATGCTTTCCTATGCACTGACTGAATGCGCGTGCGGCTGATGACGTCGGAAGAGGGAGGAGAGTCCGGTGCTGGAGAATGGGGGCCATGAGGGTGGGGGGGACCTAACAACACTATAGTGCCAGGAAAAATAGTTTGTTTTCCTAGCACTATAGTGGTCCTTTAAGTATATCTAAAAAGCGCATCCCTGTCTTTAGTAAATACTGATCAGCCACAACATTAAAAAACCACAGACGGGTCAAGTGAACAACATTGATTATATTGTTAAAATGGCACCTGTCAAGGGGTGGGATATATTAGGCAGCAAGTGAACAGTCAGTTCTTGAATTTCATGTGTTGGAAGCAGGACAAATGGGCAAGAGAAAAGATCTTAGTGACCATGACTAGAAGTGATGGCTAGATGACTGGGTCAGAGCATCTTCAAACGCTAAGTCTTGTCGGTTGCTCCTGGTATGGAGTGATAAGTATCTACCAAAAGTGGTGCAAGGAAGGACAACCAGTGAACCGGTGCCAGGTTCATAGGGGCCAAAGGCTCATTGATGCACATGGGGAGCCTATTTGGTCCAATTGCACAGAAGAACTATTGTAGCTCAAATTGCTGAGAAAAATAATGCTCACCATAAAAGAAGGTGTCAGAACACAAAGTTTGCTGCATTTTGGGCTGCGTAGCTACAGACTGGTCAGAATGACCATGTTGACCCCTGTCCACTGCCAATAGCACCTTCAATGGGGACGTGAGCAGCAGAACTGGACCACGAGGCAATGGAAGAAGGTTGCTTGGTCTACTGAATCAGGTCGATGGTCAGGTGCATGTGCGTTGTTTATCTGGGGCAGAGATATTAGCAGGATGCATTATGGGAAAATGCAGACTGGCGGATTCAGTGTTATGCTCTGGGTAATGTTCTGCTGAGAAACCTTGGGTTCTATCATTCATGCGGATGTTACTTTAACACGTACCACCTATCTAGTGATTGTTGCAGACAATGTACATTTTTTAATGGCAGTGGCCTCTTTCAGTAGGATAATGCACCCTACCACACTGCAAAAATTGTTCCGGAAAGCTTTGAGGAACATGACAAAGAGTTCAAGATGTTGCCATTGCCTCCAAATTCATCAGATCTCAATCTGACTGAGCATCTGTGGGATGTGCTGGAAAACAAATTCAATCCATGGAGGCTCCACCTCACAACTTGCAGGATTTAAATAATCTGCTGCTAATGTTTTGGTGCCAGTAAAATAAACCATGAAGATTCTGGTCATGTTAGTGTGCACGGACCGTGGCTCCATCTCCAGCCAACAATAGTATCTATTGGTACCTCGTACCACAGGACATATTCAGAGGTCTTGTGGAGTCATGCCTCAACAAATCATCTTTTGGCAGCACAATGGGGACCTATACGATATCAGGCAGATAGTTTTAATGTTCTGGCTGATCAGCCTTAAGCTATATACATGCATCTTAGGTCAAACAGTGTTTGAAAGCCAACTGTTGGTCTCTATGATCTTCCCTGCTTCTCTCCCTGCATAGAAGCAGGAAAGACTATAGAAACTATTGATTTTAAAACATGCTCTGACCCAAAACCCCTGTTTTCTGCTTTCAACACATGAAATTCAGAAGCTGACTGTTTACTGGTTAACAGATCCCACCCCTGCCATTGTAACAATATAATCAATGTTATTAATTTCACCAGTCAGCATGAGCTTCCACAGGGGGTGGCACCCCCACCCCCTGCACCCCCCTGGATTTTTCAGCTTGTTCTGCTAAGTTTCGTGTGAGATTGAAAATACAGTATGGAAAGAGACGGGGATAGGAAGCTGCATCTTATCCCTGCTTCTCTCTGACTGAATCCGCAGGGAAGCATCACTGAGTGCAGTCAGCAACTGCAGAGACTGCCTACAGATCAGGGAAGTGAGGCATATTGGGGGCAGAGAGAGCCTACAGATCAGGGAAGTGTGGCATATTGGGGGCAGAGAGAGCCTACAGATCAGGGAAGTGAAGACCAGGAAGGTAAAGTAAGGGAAGGAGAAGGAATAGAAATGAGCAGGAAGGGACAGCAAGGAGCTGGAAGGTAAAGCAGCACAAAGGTAAAGTAGAAGAAGCAGAATAGGGTCAGCAAGGAGCAGGAAGGGACAGAAGGAGCACAAAGGTGAAGTAGGAGAAGGAACAGAAATGAACAGGAAGGGTCTGTAAGGAGAAGTAAGGGTCTGCAAAGAGCAGAAAGAATCAGAAGGAGCACAAAGGTAAAGTAGGAGAAGGAGCAGAAAAGGGTAGCAAGGAGCAGAAAGGGACAGCAAGGAGCACAAAGGTAAAGTAGGAGAAAAGGGCAGAAAGGGACCAGAGAGAAAGGGGAGCAGAATGGGGAACACAATAAGCAGAAAGTAACAGAAAGGTAAAGGAGCAGAGAAGACTGTTTGTTTCAGAAGAAAAAGAAGACTGTGTCAAATGAAGAAGAAAAGGAGATTGGAGCAGGAAGAACAAGTGAAGTGAACCCTCCACTTTATTCTGGACACCACATCATAAGGCTTTGGTACCTGGGCCTGGCAGGGAAACTTTGGATCTTCTCATCTCCCCAGGTAAAAAAAAAATATCAGTGTTAAAGTGTTCACTTTTATTTACTGAGTGTCATGAAGCACAGAGAGCCGCTGGGGAGGGGTGTCGCTGATTGGCTAGAGCGGTCAGCTGGCACTCTAAGCCAATCAGTAGCTCCCCATTCATAAAAAAGTAAAACATTTTTATGAACCGGGAACTAGCGATTGGCTTAGAGCGTCAACTGACTACTCTAGCCAATCTGTAGCACCCATGCCTGACGTCAATCTGCACTTCCTGACACTCTGTTTCAAAAGCCGAATACCACTGAGCGACCTGGAAATCTGGAGCTGGAGGAAGCCTTAGGGGTTTAACCATTTGAGAGCGGTTTAACCCCTTAAAGGAAAGAGAACACCCAGGGGCTTCCTGGCATCATAGCATTTTCATTTAAATGAAGTTGTTATGGTGACCAGAATGTTCCTTTAATTTGCTTAAAGGAACACTATAGTGTCAGGAATACAAACATGTATTCCTGACACCATAGTTGTGAAAAAGCTTTTCACCCTGGCTTTATGTGATAATGACTATGCTCGTCCCCATCATGGCACTGTCAAAAAGGGACCAAGCATGGATGTCATTACAAAAATCCCCTGGAAAAATTCCTGCGGACACCCATGCCAGTCAGTGGTTTTGATGTTGTGGCTGATCAGTGTAGATGTCATCCTCATTTTTTGGAGGATGAAGCACATATTCCCATCATTATATGGGAGTCTTTTTGGTTAAAATTGCATTAAGTATTTTCTATTTTTTTTAAATAAAGGTCATATTACTCATGTCCGAGTCAATGAAGCAAATCTTGATCCTCCCTTTCCGCTATATTTTTAATTTACAAAAGTTATATCCCTAAATCAAATAAATGGCCTCATTTTCACAGAAAACTAGCCAAATCATATGGATCATAGGAAAGTTTCTTTCTATCATTCTATCAACAAATTGTATTCAGACTCCTTAATATTGGCCGTTACAAAATCTCTTTTCATGTAGTGTCTTGGGATAGTTTTATTACCATTAGAAATGATGGCATTGGGAAGAAATTGGTCCTCCATTTACAACCAATTACCGAAAACTATAAAAAAAAATGATAGTTTCCTACAACAGCAAAAACCACTCCATAGAGTCCTTGTTTTATTCTCACTTCTTTCACATGATGGTACATGTGCATGAACATCAATGATGGCAATTCTATATTATTTTAACAATATATGCATTATTATACAGCATACTAATGTCTAATTTATGCATTATTTCCTGCAAAGTAACTGGGCTTGGTAATCATGAATTGTCGTTTCAGATGAAAACCAAACTCTACAGGCAAATCATCTGACTCGTGAGATTGATTCTTTGAGTGGGGATTTATAAGTCTTTGAAGTTAATTCATTGTTTTGGACTGATTAACTAATCTGCAGTATTCATTTGTAACCAGATTTCATCTCTCTTGATCACTGTGCAATGTGTGATTTACTGCATTTGTTTCAAGTACTGTGATGACTTTTTTTTTTTATACTACATCTTTTTGTTCTTTGTAGGCCGTACTCACCGATGATGGGAGAAATGTCCAATGTTTGGTTTGATAGATATAAAATCTCAATGGACAGCTGTGAAAATCTTGAATCTGTTGACTCGATGTGCCAGATCCTAACAAATTTAATCAATGATGAAGTGAAAACTGGAATAGCAAAAAACAGGATTCTTTTAGGTAATTTAAGTGGCGCTCAATATGGTACTAAACTCTCTTACCTAGTTGCATATATTGGATTTATTATTGTTATTATTAATAATGTTAAAGCTGCTCTGTCACTCCCCCACCCCATAAAAAGAGTATTTCATAAATATACAATCATTATGAAAAATGCACATTGACTGAAATTACTATGCATTAGTTCGGAAGTGCCGAAGTGATTTGGATTTCTGAAAAGTGGGAAAACGAGAGGAGGAGGGAAAATTATGTGAATCTTGACCAATAAGCTAATTCCTTTTGTGCAATGTAATGCTTGCTTGCCCAATCCGGTTTCACTATTCCCTGTCCAATGAAATTAGCAAATTTTTGTGATTGATGTTAGAGGACACACCAGTTAATGGTGGATTTGTCACTGACACTTGGCCAATGAAGGCACACAGAGCCATTGAGATGGGATAGGATACAAATCAGGCTGTCAGGGTATTGGCTTACATTCATGTGACCAGACTAGTTGTGATAGCACAAGAGACTGAGATAGATAAAATACATTACATTTATTGTACTTTACTTGTTGCAAACTTGGGGAGCCACATTGCTTTTAAGTGTGTGTTCCAGGGAGAGAAAGTGAGTTTTTTTCCTTTTTATTCCTCTGCATTTCGTTTCTTTTTTTGAAGAGGGAGGGTGGGTGAGAGAGTGTGTGACTGTGCAAGCCAGATAGTCTGATTGCCAGGGTGTCTCTGCAGTTTACTGCAGTGATTAATTTTGTGTTTTTTAGCTGTTGTCAGGTAGCGTGATTGCCAGTGTGTCTCTCTGCTGGACTGTGACTTTGCTACAGTTATTAATTTTGTGTTTTTTTTAGCAGAGCACAGGTAGTGTTACACTTGCTTCCTCTTCAACTCACCTGAAGCGGAGGCAAATGAAACAGCAGGAGCCGCTAGCACCACCACCCTCCCTGCCCATAGAACGCCTACCTTTCCTCCCACCACCCTCCCTGGGCAAATCTCCCACAACTACCCACCACCACCACAACTCTCCCCGGGGGACCCTACACTGCTCTCCCTGCCAGCCATCACTTGCTCTCACTTTTCTCTCTCACTTGCTTGTTCACACACAAAGTGCTTTCTATCTGCTCTCACACTCTGCTCCTAAACTCTCCACAAAGATGGTGTTACAGGGTTGGGATTATATATTGTGCAGAAGTGTTGTATGGTGGTAGTGCTACCTAATTGACTGCACTATTTTTGCAGTGAAAATATAATTTTGTAAATTGTGTATATATACTAAACTAACACTACTAATTATTAATTAAACACAGTCCACTTATTTATTTTCCTCTTACCTGCTCGCCGGCGATCACGATGGGGGAACTTACCTAGCATCCCAGGGAGTCCCCCTGCTGCCGATCCGGCGCTCCAGGGCCATGTGATCGCGAGGTCCTTGCTGGGGGAGTACCTGGAATACAGGTAGTCCCCCTGCTGCCTGTAATAAAATGAAATAACGTTCAAAAAGTGTAAAATAAAACAATATATACTTAGATCATATATACATTTTTTTTTATATATATATATATATATATATGTGTGTAATTTCGTTATAACTCTATTTTGAGATATATATATGTATATAGATATTAAAATACACTTAAAACTAAATAATATATCTATATACATAAATATGTGTGTGTGTGTGTATATATATATATATATATATATATATATATATATATATATATATATGTGTGTGTGTGCATATATATATAATATATATAAAATGCAATAATCCCCTGCACTCACGCTTGAAAAAAGATCCAATGCTGGGCGCATCACCAGAGCTCCAATAGACAAAAAATCCAACAAGTAAGGCTGCTCTCCGGACTTAAAACAAAAATTTATTGAATAATATTAAAAATAACGCTCCGCGCGGCACTCACACTGCGAGACTTGCAGGGGAGCTGACAGAGGAGCTTACCGGAGGAGAGAAAAGGGAGCTGACAGGAGCTGCAGGAAAGGTAAGTTACAGCTCTCTGCCAGCCCCCTCCTACATAGTGCACACCACTGAACCACCAGGGCATGAGAGCCCCCCTCCCTGGCCAGGTATCAGGCAGGGAGGGGGGACAAAAAAAATAAATACAAATTTAAATCATAATAAAATATTAATAATATTAAAAAATAATAAAATAAAAATTATTAATATAACAAAACAAAATATTAAAATAATAATGATAATTAAAAAAAAATAATAAAAATGCCCACTCCCCACCAAGGCTCTCCATCACATACACAACACACTCTGCATTCATACACACACTGCATTCATACACACGCTGCATTCATACACACACACACTGGACTCATATACACACACACACACACTGCATTCATACACACACTGCATTCATTATATACACAGACTGTAAATAAATATTCAATTAATATAATTTTTTGGGGATATAATTTTATTTAGAAATTTACCAGTAGCTGCTGCATTTCCCACCCTTGTCTTTAGGGTAACAAAACAAAACAAAATATTAAAATAATAATGATAATTAAAAAATAATAATAAAAATGCCCACCCCCCACCAAGGCTCTCCATCACATACACAACACACTTATCACACACACACTGCATTCATACACACACACTGCATTCATACACACACTGCATTCATTATATACACAGACTGTAAATAAATATTCAATTAATATAATTTTTTGGGGATATAATTTTATTTAGAAATTTACCAGTAGCTGCTGCATTTCCCACCCTAGTCTTATACTCGAGTCAATAAGTTTTCCCAGTTTTTTGTGGTATAATTAGGGGTCTCGACTTATATTCGGGTTCATGTACTATTTTTACATAATTAAGTCATTTTATTAATTACAATTTGCGGGACCCAGGCAGAAAGGCCAGAGAATTTTATTTTTTAGCACTATATTTAACCCTGTAACTTTCCAAGACACCATAAAACCTGTACATGGGGGGTACTGTTTTACTCAGGAGATTTCGCTGAACACAAATATTAGTGTTTCAAAACAGTAAAATCTATTCAAACAATGATATCATCAGTGTAAGTGAAGTTTTTTGCATTTTTCACACACAAACGGCACTTACACTGACTAATTCTTGTGATACGTTTTACGGTTTTGGAACACTAATATTTGTATTCCACAAAGTCTCCTGAGTAGAACAGTAGCCCTAATGTACATGTTTTATGGTGTTTTCAAATGTTACAGAGTCAAATATAAGGCTCGTGTTTCAGTTTTTTCACATTAAAATTCGCCAGATTGGTTACGTTGCCTTTGAGACCGTATCGTTGCCCAGGAATGAGAATTACCCCTATGATGGCATACCATTTGCAATAGTAGACAACTCAACGTATTGCAAATGGGGTATGTCCAGTCTTATTTAGTAGCCACTTAATCACAAACACTGGCCCAAGTTGGCGTTCAAATTAGTTTTTTTGCATTTTTCACACACAAATAACGCTAACTTTGGCCAGTGTTATGCCATCATGGGGGTAATTCTCATTCCTGGGCTACCATACGGTCTCAAAGGCAAAGTAACCAATCTGGCAAATTTTTATGTACAAAAACTGAAAAATGTAACATGCTATATTTGACCCTGTAACTACCCAAAACACCATAAAACATGTACATGGGGGGTACTGTTTACACATGAGACATCACTGAATACAAATATGTGTATTTTATTGAAGTAAAAGCAAAAAAATTATTCATATTAAATTATGTTCCATAGCTAAATATTTGATGTTCAATGAAAGCCCTATTTCTCCTGAATAACATTATATATTAAGTGTGGGTGCACTTAATATGAAAGGGGTGAATTATGGTTGAACATACATATAGTCAAATTCACAGTTTTGTTTACTTTTTATTTTGATCAAAACGTGTACATTTGGCTCAGTTCTTAAGGGGTTAAGTGGTCTGGGTGCTGCTGTGATTCACTATGCAATGTAAAACATTGCTGTTTAAGAAAAAAACACACATGTTTATTTTTTCAAAAAGAACAACATTCCGAATTCCCGAATGCCTGAAACGAATGACATGCCGAACTTCCGAATGCCCGAAATGAATACCATGTGCCCGAATGCTGAGATTCCGAACCGAGTGCCATTCTGCAGTTCCAAAGTGCCGAACCGAAACGAATGCCATTGGTCCGAATTGCCAAAGCAGACAAATATTTTTAGTGACCAGAATTTCCGAACTAAATTTTTTGCCCATGCTCATCCCTAGTAGGGACTACTTATCTTATATATATTCACTATGCCTGACAAAAGGCAGAGCTTCCACCATTATTTTTATTTATTATTACTGCTATTTATATAGCACCAACAGATTCCGTAGCGCTTAAGTTGTCATTTCCACCATCCATCACTAGCAATGGCTGTGGGTGAAAAGGCATTGTTTATGGAAGCTCTCGTGGGATCCTCCACAGACCTCAGTGTTGTATGTTTGTGCTTGTGCAAGAATAAATCACTGACTTGAGCTCCTGGCAGGTAAAGTGCCTGGAGTTGAAGATGACCCACCGGATGAAGATGGCGGCTGGGCGGTGATGTTACCATCTGGGGTCTCTGCAAAGTATGCAAAGACCCTCAATTTTGACCGAGCCGCTTCAAACATTTCCTTACATTAAGAGTATAATCTTCTAGAATAGCTAATTCCTCCTCTGACAATTACATATACAGGGGCCACCAAAGATAATTAGAAAAATCGCATATTTACTGGCCTGCATAAACTATCTATACTGTGCTAGCCAAATGGATCACTATTAAGGTGTTAAACATACTTTCTTTTTTCAGATGGTGAGGTACAAAGATAGCCTCTATAGTGGCTGCTGTGAGGCATTTCCATGTTATATAGCATATGGCTGCACACAAGGCATTTTAGAATTCTATAGGTAGTCAAAGCCATGCTTTGACACTTGCATCTATTGCAGCATCTGTCTTGAAGGACATAGCAATTGTGACTATATCTTTAATATACATCATTATTTTCCATTTTTCCGGCAAAGTGTACAGATGTGTAGGCCTATGTAAAGCTGAAATTGTTGTTCACAAGTTTTGTTTGTAAAGCCATATGGGATTTACACAAAACAGTCAGGTGTGAAATGAGCAATCCGTTTACAAAATTTAGGCTATAAATAATCTATTTTGGGCAGGTCACATATAAAATGTGTTCTGTGCAGTGACAAATCATGCTCCTCTCTTTGGCAGTCTGGTTTTGGCGGATGTCAGGAAAACATTTTTTTTTTTTTTTTTTTGCCTGACTGCATTGTGCCAACTGTAAAAGAGGGATAATGATATGGAGCTGTTTTTCATGTGTTTGGCAAGGCCCCTTACTTTCAGTGAAAGGAAGTCCCAATGCTTCAGCATCCCAAGAGATTTTGGACAATGCTATGCTTCCAACTTTGTGGGAACAGTTTGGAGAATGCCCTTTTCTATTCCAGCAGAACTGTATTCCAGTGCACAAGGCAAGGTCCATAAAGAAATGGTTGGGTGAGTCTGGTGTGGAAGAACTTGACTGGCCCACACAGAGCCCCTGACCTCAACCCCATTGAACACTGGGACAGAGAGTGTGAGCCAGGCCTTTTCATCCAACATCAGTATCAGACCTCACAAATGCTCTACTGGATGAATGCTCAAAAAAGTTCCACAGAAGCCCTCCAAAATCTTGTGGAAAGTCTTCCCAGAAGAGTGGAATCTGTTATAGCTGCAAAAAGGCGACCAATAGACATTAATGTCTATGTATTTAGTATGCGATGTCATAAGAGTCCCTGTTGTTGTAATGGACAGGTGTACCAATACTTTTGTCCACATAGGGTAGAGAGAGAGCTTTAAACTTGCACTGCTATTTAAAGGAACACAATAATGTCAGGAATACAAACATGTATTCTTGGCACTATAGTTGTAAAAACAGATTTTAGGTCCCTGACCCGTTGCCTCCAACTTAAGTTATTTTACTTGCCTATGTACCTCTAGTAGCCATCTGAGTGACTGCCACTAGAGGTATTCCTAGGCAGTAATGTAAACACTGCATTTTCTCTGGAAAGGCTGTGTTTACATTAAAACCCTGCAGGGACAGAGTATAGACTTCAAAACAACTACACTAAGCTGTAGTGATTCTGTTGACTATAGTGTCCCTTTTATATTAGCCTAACCTAAGTTTAGCACCGCTGCCTAGAATTTGTATTTCTAGGGGTCTTCAGTAATCACAGGATATGTTCCTTTATAACAAGCAGTTTTGTAAAAATTAGTTTCCATTTTCTTCTGTTATTTTGAAATGCCTCCTGGATTTCCTAATGAAAGACACATTTATTTTAGTTCTTCCTGTCGCACCAGGCCTGGCAATCTCTCCCAATTTGAGACTCATTTGGTGGCATCCCAGTTCATTTCTCTGGTGTTTCCTTCTCTATAGTCCTGGAGACACTTCTCTGAGATCACGTATGGGCTTTGTAAAAATACTTCCTCACAAGGACTCTGCACGTGTACATGAGCACCATTCTGTACATGAGCACCATTCTGTTCATGAGCGAGCCTCATAGGCTGATCACAGCTTGTAAATCAATGCTTTGAGCTGTCATACCCCTTGTACCACCCCTTATCCTCAAACATTGGAGGTATAAAGTGGTTTCTGATCTTATCCTACCACCTTTTGTTTGACTACATTTTTAATGCCCCGGCATTATGTGGTTACTGTAGTTAAACATTAGCTAGAATGTCGTTACCGAACACCTATGATGTAACCACTAGCTTTATCCAAGTTGATTGGAATGAATTCATCAGAACTGGATGACTAGTGCTTTGCTTATGTCCTCAGTAGAGGGGGGGGTGGGGGGGAATACAAACACAATTTGGCTTCTGCCAGGAAATTACCTTCACCTCTTGCTAAGACATTACGGAATGCTGAAATGTAATTCTCATAGAGGGTATGGCATTATTTTAAATTTTTTTTGGTTAGAAATGCCAGGGAAGACACGCATTATTCTTTTGAGCGCATGCGAAAAAAATGAAAGCAATCTGCATGTACCATGTGTTTTATACATCACGTCAAAGTAGACACTGAAATACTATCTCTGTGAATCATGCTTTTTTTTTTGCCACAAACTATAAATATTCATTGAAATCACAGTCTCCAAAGAATTTACTACAATTTTTACCTTGGGACTATAATGTTATTAAGTGATACGCTGCAGGTTTTTCCACAGAAAATTCAAAGAGGTAGTCTTTTGTACCAATATTCCCCCTCCTCCCCCTCCCCACCCCCTTTTTTTTTTTTGTAGTGCAAACCACATAAAAGTATTATTACTTAATATTCTACTCTGGAGGTGACTACATGTCAAAAAAATTGCTAGTGAGTCACCGCTCTTTCATTTGCCAGATTGTGACTAAGAGGGGGTGTAAAATGTAGCTTGGGTTTTCTCAGAAGCAGTAATGAGCATTTGGTGACTTTATTATTGGAAGATCGGAATGCATAGGCAATGTACGAAATGTTTATGGTTTTGTGGAATGGGAACAGTCCAGTGGTGACATTATGCTGATGAGAGTTTGTGCCCTCCAGATGCACTCTTACATGCAAGAGCCAGCAGATTCAGAGTCATAATAAAAGTTTGTTTTTTAAAGAGAGAGAAGCATGTGACTTTTTCTGACACATGAAAACAGACGTGATTTTTAAGTGTAAAGTATGTGTGAGTTTTTCTGCTATAAAGTTCAAATGTTGCTGTTACAAAAATAAGTGTTAACGCACCCTGAAAAGGCACTGTATGTGTCTGGACATAAAATGGCAACAGGTAAATAAATCTACACAATATAATTTGGGTAATGTGACTTTTTGCAGAGTATGGTTTAGATTTATCAAAACTACTTGCACACAAAACAAAGTTAATGATGTAGGACTTGCTGTCAGGTTCTGAATTTAAATTATTTGTACTGGTAGCAGATCAAGTCAGAAAAGCATATGTAGTGGTAGTGGCATATTAATACAAAATAACGCACAAGGTTATTCACTAGACTCAGATTTTCGTTAATTCCAAATGGAAATACTGAGATAGAAATAGTTGATCTGAAAATATTTTACAAGCCGGCTATAGTCACTGCTTGTCTATTTTTGCCCAGTTATGTTGTTTAGACTTAATTTGCTAATTTAATTTTCATAAATACCCATGGTATTATGTGAAAAAGTACCCTACCCAAGGGTTTAACAGATTGTACTGATGATGCATTAGCCAACTAAGCTATGTTACTGGCCTTATATCTTAAAATCTTACTTCTGTCTTCTCACTAGTACATTAAATAAATGGTCTTGACCATCATGTTTGCAAGGTCCAAATGTAAAGTGAAATAACTGCATCTATACATTTGTTAGAAATTTGGCTTGCTCAATGTATCAATATCAATGTATTCTCAATACAGGGCTATTCACTAAAGTCTGAATACCCCCAGTCCAGATTAGCAAAAATAATTTTGTACCATCTGGGTGCATTTGGACACCAATATTGATCACAGTGTCTATCAATGTTTAGATCTCAAATGACATAAAGGTCCACTGGATTTTGGCCTATCACTAGTGGATGGATGAAATCCACATTTGAATGCTTAATATCCAGAATATTTGCAAGTTGGCAGCACAAGCAGCCAGTTGGCAAATAGTAAAAAAAAAAAAAACTCTGCATTGTGAGGGTTAACAATTTTGGTATAACAAGAGACAAAAAAAATCCAAATCCACAAAGGTAAGTTTAATCCATAGCATGCAAAAAAATGACAAACAGGGGGGAAAGGTAAAAAAACACAGGACCTTAGTCATAGCAGTAACTAACAAATATAACACACGCTGATATGTCCAAAAATAAGCTAACCGCCTCCACCCAGAAAAAACCCAGGGAATTTCACAGAGAGTCATGTCAAACACTAACCTGGGGCATCTTGTTAATGCTTCAGTAAGGCAGCTTTCCATAAATTAAATAATCCCTTTCCTTCCCATTTTATAGGATTTCATACCCACATAGCTTGTGATTGTCCATCCAAAAGAAGGCAGCACTATAAGATATATGAAACCAAGAGTTGCACTCACCTGAACATGCATACATTATAGGGTGCTGCTGGGGCCAAATTCATACAACACATAAGATCCAACACACTCATTCATTCACTAAACAGCAATTTCAAGTCTCACAGAACTTAATATTTTTTTATTGAAAAACACATCACCTAGGCAAAAATAATGGGGGTTTATTACAGTATAGGATCATACATTGCATAAGCTTGCCACAATTTCAATGTCACCCTTTTTTGGCAGGTCCTACTCTAGCACCTAATGACTGCTCTTATGAGATTAATCCACTTACTTGGGAAATACTATACTACTTTCTACTTGCTCCCCACTTATATCAGAATGCCAGCAAGTTGATTCTCAGTTTGATGTTCGATATGAAAACCTTCCAATATTCCATTGTAACGAGAGAAAAAAGTTATGAAAAATGTATTTAATAGACTGTTTTATTTTCCTCAGTTGACAAAATACTTATAAGCGTACACTAAAGAGTGATCTATTGCTCCAGAGAAGGTCATGAAATAAGAGAATATACCATTAGCCTTTCAAGGACACTTTGGCCAGAATGAGTCTCTAACGGAATTCTTTGACTGTTTCACTTTTATGCAGTTCTTTATTTGTTTTGCAGGTGGATTTTCCATGGGAGGTGCTATGGCCATGCATTTGACTTACAGATTCCACAGGGATGTGGCTGGAGTGTTTGCTCTTTCTGGTTTTCTCAATAAAGATTCAGTGGTTTATAAGGTATTCTTTTTCCTGTAAAGGAAATGTTTGTAGTAATGATTAGCTATATTTTAAATTAATATATGGATAATTTTGTTGTGTTTTGGCTACGTACGTTTATACTTTTAAACTTCTTGTTGTCCCATTGTTTTTGTTCATGTTTTGTTTTTTTAAACTATTTGGTTCAACTTAGGTAATATTCATCGACAAAAATAAAATTTCAATTTCATTTAAAAAAATGTCAAGTTTTGGGAAAATTATAAAAAGAGTTAAATGCCTTCTTCTGTATCAATAAATGAGATTTAAACATGCGCCCATGTGTGAACTGAGGTCTGGATGAGCTCATGATGCTGATCTGAGGTCTGTGGGGGAGACGGCAGGAGAGCTCACCTAGAACGCTTGTGACACTTTCGTAAGCTCTCTGGAACTAATGGAAGGAGGAAGCAAACCTCTGTGGTGGTTTATTGGCAGCCAGGGGGGTGGTGCATAATTTATTAGTTTAAAAAACTATGTATTTCTAACACTACAGTGTTGCAGTAGCAGTTTAGATCACTGGCTCCTGCAGAGTGGAGTTAAAAAAAATAAAAAAATTTAAATTTACCTTTTCTTAATCACTATGCAGGTTTTGCCACAGCTGGCCCCGCCTCCATGGCTGAGAGCATCAATCTTGATGATCTCAGCCAATCCAATACTTTCCCATAGGTAATCATTGGGAGGCTATTGCACATGCACGGCAAAACGCCAATCAATGCATCTCTACAGGGATTGTTCAGCGTCTCCGTGCAGAGCGTGGATATGTTGAACGTAGGTACTGCACATAATACAGCACTGAAATAGGAAATGTGACCCAACTATTGTTTTTTTATTTTGCTTCTTTCTCTTGGTAACTGCATTTATGAAGCTGGTGTAGCCTGCTATAATGGGTGGATGTGTAGCATAATATACACTGCATTCCGAAAGTATTCAGACCCCTTCATATTTTTTAGATTTATTTTTATGTTGCAGCCTTGTGTTGCTACAATTGTTTTAAAAAAACAACAACTAATTTTCTCACATCACATGCAAATAATCTTCTCAGGTTTTGTCAGGTTGGCATGAGAACATCAGTGGACATGTCTATTTTCATATCTCTCTAGAGATCCCTAAGCCACTCTTGCATTGTTTTTCTGATTGCACTGTGTGCATATGTGTGTGTGTGTGTGTGTGTGTGTATGTATATATATATATATATATATATATATATATATATATATTTGTATTTATTTATTTTTTGACCCTGCAGATTTCAGTGATGATGCCCGTTGAATTGTTATATGTCAGTTACCTACATTATTGGATTTTATATATTTTTTTTCTTTTTCTTTCTCAGGAACTTAAAGAAGTAAAGTGTAGACTTCCTGAATTATTCCAGTGGCATGGAAATGCTGATACTCTAGTTTTACCACAATGGGGTGAAGAAACCAACAAAATACTAAAATCCCTTGGTGTGACTACAACATTCCATAGTACTCCAAATATGTATCATGAGCTAAACCTCAGAGAGCTTCATCATTTAAAAGCTTGGATTTTAAAGCAGCTGCCCACAGATTATACAGGTGCCCAAAAGAGCCAAGTCCTCTAAATAAATATTTACTATCAATACCAAGTTGTGTTTTTTGTTTTTCTTCTTCTAGCATTGTAGCATTTAGTAGGCCAGCATTTAATTGCATTTTTAAATATCACAGATAATTAAAATAGTTAACATTTATACGGAATCTGCACTTTTCGGGAATTTGGAGGTCAAGGCCAAGGCAAAACCTTTTTGTGAAGGTCCCCAAACCATTCTTAAACAATTTTTGCAGTATATTTTAGTATCCACAGATGTGACCTCCCTATACACGATTATTGATCACCAACAAGGTTGTGATTCCGTGAGAAACCCATTAAAGAAATATGGGGAACTGGAAGATACACAAATTTCATTTATAATAGAAGGGATTGCATTTATTTTGAAGAACAATTATTTCCTATTTGAAGATCAATTTTACCTCCAGAAGAAGGGAACAGCTATGGGGACGAAATTTGCCCCTAGTTTTGCCAACCTGTTTATGGGGGATTGGGAGGACAATCACATTTGGAATGGACATCCCTGGAATATGAATAGTCACAGATATAAAAGATACATCGATGATGTTTTCTTTATATGGGAAGGTGAGATGGAAGACCTGCAAGAGTTTTTAGAATATGTGAACAAGAATACCTGGGTAGCAAAACACAGGTGGAATTCCTTGACCTCACCATTTATATAGATTCTGGCACAGTGAAAACGAAAACGCACTTTAAAGAAGTAGATGTGAACAGCTTTATCCTTAAAGAGAGCTGTCACTTACCTACATGGCTTAAAAACGTACCTTATAATGAATTTAGACGCCTGAGACGTAACTGTACAGACTCTGAAGTCTACAGGGAACAAGCGGAAACAGTAAAGAATAAATTCTTGTCGAAAAACTATCAACATAAGGAAATAGAGGAGGCACTATGTAGAGTAGAGAATTTAGACCGTACTAATCTCCTGAAAAATAGAGATAAACTACAAATAACAAGACCAGGAGAAGAATTTCCAGCAATTATCTTGAACTATAATAAAGAAAATATACAATTAAAAAGAATACTTACAAGACACTGGCATCTATTGAAAAAAGATAAAATGCTGGCTGGCAGCTTACCGGTAAGACCTAAAATTATTTTTAGGGGTGCACCGAATTTAAGAAGGAAAATAACAAATAAACATCTAAAAGGAAGAAATGTTCCTACTACAACAAAGAAGAATGGTTTCTTTTATTGTTTAGACTGCATTGCATGTAAAGAAAGCAAACACAAACAAACAAAAGGAGTATTTGAAGTTACTAACAATAACTGCAAGAAAAAGAGAGAATCTTTTAAAATAAAAGATCACACATCATCTGCCATAGCACTAACGTGATATATGTACTGGAGTGCCCATGCGGGCTCCAGTATGTAGGAAGAACAAAGAGGCAATTGTATGTTAGAATCAGAGAACACATGCTGAATATAAAGAAAGGTTATATGCAACACTTGGTTTCAGCCCATTTCAAGCAGCATCACAATTCAGATATGAGCCTTCTGAACTTTAAGGGGATATGTAAAGTAAATAAAAACTGGAGAGGAGGAGATCATAATAAACAATTGGGCATTACCGAGATGAAATGGATTTATAAATTAGATACGTTGCAGCCTAAGGGACTTAATGCTGAGTTTGAGCTGTGCCATTTTTTGGGATGAATTCCCCCCTTTTTTCTTTTTTTTTTTTTTTGTGGTTTATATTTTTTCCGTGCAATAGAGGAAGGGTCCTCTAAGAAGAATACATTTATATCCATATTATGCTCTGTAGAGCTAATAAATCTCAAATGAATATACCTAATAGTGGCATTGTTAAAACATCTAGACTGCTTGAATAAATTCTTTATATCGAAAGTATTGATCTCAGCTGTAATACACTAATTATTTATATTCATATGAGATAGTAGAAGATTTAAGATAAAACTTATTCTACAATAAATAAATTTTATTATTCTATTTTCGTTTTCTGTCTAACTAGATGAAAACGGCAGTTATATTTAAACCTGCTTAGGCGGGTGTTATTATAGCAACGGTAGTAAACAAAGAACAGTAATATACTGTGCTGATTAAAATAATAAGTAGTAACGTTTTTGGAATTTTAAGTTTGCAACAATGTAATTGATTGGTCACATAGAAGATAGTTTAATTTTGTAACACCTATTACTGAATTTGCCGCGATAAAAAGAAAGCCGGCAAACACTATATAAGTGGATACGAGGCAGACCGCATCCATTGAGAAAGCCGCTGAAGCGGAGAAACGCATCTGGAGGGGTCTGACTCCCATCGATACCAGCCAACATTTGCACTTTAAAGAGGACTTTTATTTGATATTTCTCAGCATTATTTTTGCTGACTCGGGACGCCGAGCATTTCGAATAAGGTCTGGACTTTTGCATGGCTTTTTATCAGTAATTTTAAATAGACATATTATTTTTAACAGATGTTATTCTCTTTTTATATTTGTCTGGATATTAATTAATAAATTGATTTTTAAATAAATTTTGAGTATACCAGTAAGTTTACTTATTATGAGTTATTAGAAGAGACAGGTATATTTATTTATCAATTTTTGCAGTATGGCAGCGTGCATTATGCTGCTGAAAGAGTCCATCGGGGAACACCCAAGCCATGAAGGTGTGTATGTGGTCTGTAACAATCTCTAGGTAGGTGATATGTGTCAAAGTAACATCCACATTAATGTAAGGACCCAAGGTTTCCCAGAAGAATATTGCCCAGAGAATAACACTGCTCCCACCGGCCTGTCTTCTTACCATCCTGCTGACATCTCTTCCCCAAGTAAATGATGCCCACACACCTGGCCATCCACCTAATCTAAAAGAAAACGTGTTTCTTCAGACCAAACATTTTTCTTCACTTGTCCCTGGTCCAGTTCTGACGCTCATATCCTTTTCAACTGTGGGCAGGGGTCATCATGGGCACTCTGACTGGTCTGCAGCTACACAGCCCCATACGTAGCAAACTGAAATGCACTGTGTGTGTCCTGGCCCTTTTCTATCGTGGCCAGCATTAAGGTTTTCAGCAATTTGAGCTTTTCTGTGAGATTGGGCTAGACGTGCTCTTGTCAAAGTCACTCAGATCTTTTAGATCTTTTTGCTTGCCCATTTGTCCTAGTTCCAAAACATGAAATTCAAGAACTGACTGTTCACTTGCTGTCCAATATATCCTACCCCTTGACAGGGGCCATTATAATGATATAATCAACGTTATTCACATTTCAATGTTGTGGCTGATCAGTGTAGAGATCTCCAAAGTTAATAGAAAGTAATAATGGTGCCAAAAAGTGTAACTTTTCCTTTAAGTTCTTATGTCCTCTCACCTTTCTGTTCTCATAGTCACACCGGATAACAGGTAAATTGTACAGTGAGAATGATATAAGGTTGTCAATGTATCATATATTACTAGAACACCATATGGAATCTCTGACACTGATGACAAAAAGTAAAATCTCTTCTGCTCTGTTTTAAGCCTTGATGCGTATAAGTATACTGGAAATATTTTTTTCAAGGATTGAAATGAATGACCCTTAAAAGTTTTACTATAAACATAAAAGAAAAAGAAAACACACCCGAGTTCCGAGAAGGATGAGCACATAATTACTTTTCAGGATAACTCGTATACCACAGAGCGGTAAAATGAAGAACATGTATAAAATCTATATTTTTTTATGTTTAAATTTAGATGCTCTCGAAGAGTGCATAGTTATTATAAATTGCATTCATGTTTTGCTCAACATCAACCATGGGCAAAAATAAACATTGATGTAACAGATGTTATTAGCTTCCTGACAAAAATACTATCTATTGTATTCCAAAGTCCAAAAAGTCAGAAGAAAAGCTTTCTTCCAATGTAACCAAAAGCTGAATAAAATAAATCTTTGGTTTCGCAATGCATACTGTAAGAACATCAGTGGTCTTAGGGGGCCAATGACATCGTTTCCTTTTCCCCAGTAGGAGTTGGAGCAAAACGCAAGTGTTTTTAGAAAAGGCTGTGTTTCCACTGATAAATTCTGGGAAAGGAAGGTGGCGTTGAGGGGAAAAGTCAGATTTAGAACATCCAGAACTGACTCACGGTCACTGAGATTTGAAAATGATCCATTCAAAGTACGATTATATAATCGTGCTGGTGTCATTGTTCTTCATTAAAGAGACACTTTCATTAAAAGATAATTTAGAGTATGTATGTATGTGTGTATATATATATATATATATAAAACATAATTACATACACACTGTATAACATTGTTCTACGTGTTTGCCAAATTTCTTTATCTATCTGCTTTTCTGCGATTTTTTTTTTTCTGGTTTTGCTTCACTTTAGATTTTATACTGCATTGAATGATACTCATAAACGCCAGTTTTTCTTAGATACTGATGTACATATTAGAGGTACACTATAGTCCCCAAAGGCATTTTGCTGTAAACACTGTCTTTTCAGAGAAATGACGATGTTTACGTTGCTCCCTAGAGACACTGCCATACTGCAAAAAAATTTAAGAATGGTTTGGGGACCTTGACAAAGAAGTATTGCCTTAGCCTCCAAATTCCCAAAAAGTGCAGATTCTGTATAAATGTTCTTTATTTCAATTCTCTATGTTCTGTGATATTTAAAAATACAATTTAATGCTAGCCCGCTAAATGTTACAATGCTAGAAGAAGAAAACCCCAAAACACAACTTGGTATTGAGCGTACTATTCGAACGGGCTATAATCACTCAAGCCGCTAGCATTTCAGGAGCGTGCGAGCGAACATATCATACGAAATACAAGGGGTTTGTTACATATAGTATTCCATGAACAGTATGTTTTTAAGAAATTAAAACTGATCTTTTCTTATTCAGGAAAATATATATATTGTTTAAGGAGGGCTTTTATAACACTAATAATATACTAATGTTTGAGACCGGTCTGTGCCATTTATAACACAGTCGACTTTTCTATTCATTGTTTAGAAGGACACATGATTAATTTATGGCATCACAGATGCTTTAACAACACTCCCATCCAGGACATTTTAAGGTTAAGGGACACTCTAAACACCAAAATAATGTCAGCTTATGTTTAGCAGCTTTGGTATATAGATCATACTTATGCAGTCTTGTTCTTTCCATGTCATTTAGGAGTTTAATAATTTTAGATATACAGCCCTCGCCACACCTCCCCTGGCTGTGACTTGAGTAACAAAAGCTTTTTTTGTTTGTTTGTTTTTTTACAACTCAGTGTATTAAATCAACTTTAGAAGTTATCTCATGTTCTGTTTAATGAACACTATAAACTATTGAACAGCAAGACTACAGGGCTTGATATTTACATCAAAACCACTCTATTAAGCTTAAATTATTTTGGTGTATAGATCATGCTCCTGCAGTCTTACTGCTCAATTCTCTGCCGTTTACGAGTTTGATCACTTTGTTTATGCAGCCCTAGTCACATCTATGTCTCAGATACAGTCGCCGTACAAATGTAAAGAGAGATCTAATGTTTAAACTTCCTTTATTGCACAAACTGTTTAATTTAGAATTTCCCATCACCTGCTCTGTTATTAGCCTACTAAAGGCAAGCAGGAGCCTCCTGCGCAGGTCCAGAATGTCAATAGGGCAAGATGGGCAAATGCCTGGTTGGCCGCGATTGCCCTTGGCAAAGACTTACAGGGCAGATCAAAGGATCTCAAAACCTTGAATTTGCACTATGTGTTCTAAAATTGAAGAGTTTCCTCTATACATATTTTGTATTGGTTTTTAAAGGACAAAAATAGCTTTCTTTTAATATTATATATGTATACATAACACAACATTAAGTTTGAATAAAATGTTATAAATGGGGGAAGGGGAATTTCAAAATTTTTCATCTAATACTTTTTACAAATTTCTTACACATCCAGTGCAATGATTAAAAATAAATCAAAATAGATTCACATAATTAGTCCTGATTGTTAAATGCCTAATATGTCCAGCATCTAAATTAAGTTTTGGTACTTAACCTACACCAACCTCCCTAATAGTATACCTACCAGACCCCTTATCCAATGTTTATACCAGCTGACAGAGAGGACTCCGGCATCGATGTTTCACCCAATCATGTCAGCTTTATATGAAGCGTGAAGGCCAAGTGATTGGGCGAAACGCATCACAGGAAGCTGGTCCACAAGTGCATCACGTGTTCTGACGAGCACACCACGTGATCAGAAGAGTAAGAGGAACAAGGACTTTTAAATTTGCCGATCTCTCTTAATGCTTTTGAGCGTGAATTGTGAGTTTTGAGAGTGAACTCACGATTTCATAAATTGCTCCATTTGAAAGTGAACTACTTGTCTGGGGTATATCCCCACTCCTAGCAAGCAATATATACTCAGACCCAGGGAATAGATGTCACGCCAAGGGTACATAATTCATTCTTGTACTATAGAATATTGCTATGTAGTGTGATTTGTGTAGTGCATACATGAATTGGCTACTTAGTAGAGGTGATAAGGCCAATTTGACTGTAGAAGATAGATGTCAGAAGGGGTTAATGTAAATTATATAGGAATGTGATAGAGGTCAGATGGTTTACAACAGGAATTGCTTTGAAGTCCTGCCTCCAGAGCCCCTCTGCAAGGTTGAAATATTACACATGAGTTGCCTCTGAGCCTACTTTAATATAAACTAACTCTCTAATTTGCCATATGCTTATATTTTCTTATAGATGGTGGATTCCTTTGATATGTCACCATTAGCATTGAAGAGAACCATTTTCTTCCAGTGTCATATCCAAAAGAAACATTAATAATAACCCACAGATGAATAATCATGCCTCCTCTTGTGCATATTTAGAATGGCAAGAGCACACTGCAGAAAGAGTATAAACATGATTAGCACAACTTGAGCCGTTTGGAAGGAATTGTAATGTCCACTATATTAGGTCCTAGCAGGGTTTGTGACATATCTATGGAATGTAAAAATTGCAACAAATTCATAGATGCAATTATTATTTCTGTGCCAAGCACAAAAGAGGAGATTAAATCAATAGTTTCTATTTGGCTCTGATGAATGTAAGTATACCCATTTGGGGTGATATTTTAGTGGGATTTTTATGTACACAGTTTGCACTATGATTGTATTTCATTTAAATTTTTAGGAAGGGACGATTTAGAAATACTCTACACAAGTATAAAATTTTTTTGCACTATTTTATACACTCGAAAGATGTTAGTTTAACACTGTTTTTTTTTTTTTTCACTTTTGTTATTGGTAAGTGCTGTCATTTAGCATTCATGGTTTAGACTTAAAGGACCACTCTAGGCACCCAGACCACTTCAGCTTAATGAAGTGGTCTGGGTGCCAGGTCCTTCTAGGGTTAACCCATTTTTTTATAAACATAGCAGTTTCAGAGAAACTGCTATGTTTATCAATGGGTTAAGCCTTCCCCTAATCCTCTAGTGGCTGTCTCATTGACAGCCACTAGAGGCGCTTGCGTGCTTCTCGCTGTGATTTTCACAGTGAGAGCACGCCAGCGTCCATAGGAAAGCATTGTAAATGCTTTCCTATGAGACCGGCTGAATGCGCGCGCAGCTCTTGCCGCGCGTGCGCATTCAGCCGGCGGGGCGTAACGGAGGCGGAGAGGAGGAGGAGAGCTCTCCGCCCAGCGCTGGAAAAAGGTAAGTTTTTACCCCTTTCCCCTTCCAGAGCCGGGCGGGAGGGGGTCCCTGAGGGTGGGGGCACCCTCAGGGCACTATAGTGCCAGGAAAACGAGTATGTTTTCCTGGCACTATAGTGGTCCTTTAAGGATTTAACCCTGCTCATACCAAAATGTTAGGATGTGTCAATATGCCCTAACAGTGTTAAAGTATAGCTGGGACATACTGACATCCTAATGTCATTCAAGTGTTAGGCACCCAGAACTGGCTGAGAAGAAAGGAAGAAAAAACAGAGGAATTATCTTTGTTTTTTACCCAGAACTGGCTGGCTAATGACTCCCAAGTGCTATGATCACTTCATCCAGGCCCTAATTAAAAAAAAAAAAAAATCTGAACTATTTATGTGTAATGTTTCTCTACTTATTAATAGGAAAATAAGTTACATATACACCACTTTTAGTAGTTTAGTAACCAACTTTGACCTCAACTTCTGAAAATAAAAGGCATTCACCATCATTTAGCATCTATAAGATACACCACTTATTAAGCTACTGCAAGATTACATAGAGTTACCAGTGCTAAATAAGAAACACTTCTATGTTGGGATAAGGTCTTTAAAGGGATACCCTACTGCCCAAATACAAAAAAACAAACAAAAAACTATTTAATAAGAAATCAGTGTAGTAGATATATCCCCAATGAAAACATGCATGTATTTAATTATTTTTCATTGGGCATTTATCTGTAAATGCTGAAGATCTCTTGTCTGAAGCCTTTGGAAGACTTGCCCTTCTAACCCAGCCCACAGTTTCTGTGGCTGTCCAATCACAGACTTCTCAATGCAGCTCAATTAAAAGTAAGGCAGGTGCTCTGAGCAATATGAAGTAAAAGAACCTGTCCTCTGATTGACCTGCAGGGGGTGTTTTAGAAGGTTAACTTATTAAAGTGCCAACTTCTATTGGTATATGTACTTTTTTGAAAGTGATAGTGAGGCTTCTCTGAGGCTCCCTTCACTGTTTACTAAATTTCCTGGTTACTCATGGCAATACTGCAATCACCTGATACAATATGATGTCATCACGTACCACGATTGATGTGATCCAAGAGTACCTACACTTTCTCGCAGACTTGTGTTGGCCTTTTTTTTAAAATTTTTTTTTTTTTTTTTGATGTTCACTGGGAGAATATAGTCTATCATACTGTACATATGTGGAGATATGTGGGTAACTTTGCTTATGTTGTTCAAGGGCATTGTACATTGAGAAAGAGTTGTCCATCCCAAATGTTTGTGGTTTCTGGTGTCCTTTATTAAACTGTATATTCTGGATATATTCTGGATATTATATATTAAATACCTGCATACTACTATTTGAGATCCATAATCATTTTAAATCAGCTGCATAGAAGTAAAATATTTTCTTAGTTTATTACTATTAGTTTTTGGGGGGGAGGGGGAGATAGGGAAATACTGCAGGATCTTATACCTGTATTTTATTTTTTTATACACACATTCAAACACAGATACACATACACACTGACACACAAACAGATACACACCTATACTGACAAAGATACACAAGCACATACGAGTGTGTGTGTTTCCATACATTTTGGGTGCAGGAGGGTGGTTTCCCTAGGGTCCAGGGAAACCTACTGGCTGAGGGTGATGGGAATCTGGGGCTGCTGGAAGTCTGCTCACCCTCTCTGTGCCTCTCCCCCCACAATCCCCCTTTCCATGCTCCCTGCGCGGCTCTTTCTGATAACTCACTCCCAGCATTTACAGTGGGCGGTCATGCTGTTGAAGACTTGTGGCATCTGGCCGGACCACTGAACAGAATCAGTGTCAATCCAGTGTCCCAAAGTGTGAGGGACACCAGATGGGTCCTCACAACAGTGCAGACACACCACCTGCACTGGCGGTAGTTCTGCCGTTGCTAACAATATTAATCAAATGAATACCATTGTGATAGGTAATAATAACATCATTAAATTTTAAAAGGCAACCTTCTTCCATTGCTCCATGGTCAGGTTCTGACACTCACATCCCAGTGAAGGCGCTTTTGGCAGAGGACAGGGATCATCGTGGGCACTCTGACTTGTGTGCAGCTACCCAGCCTCCTTTGCAGCAAACTGCAACGCACTGTGTGTTCTGACACTTGTCTATCATGGCCAGCGTTAAGTGTGATTGGACTGGACAGGCTAGCCTTCACTCCCCACGTGCACCAATGAGCCTTGGTCACCCATGACTCTGACGTCTGCCCACTAGTTGTCGTGCCTTACACCACTTTTAGTAGTTACTAACCACTGCATACCGGGAACACCCCACAAGACTTGCCATTTTGGAGATGCTCTGACCCAGTTGTCTAGCCATTACTATTTAGCCCTTGTCAAAGCACCTCAGATATTTTCACTTGGCCATTTTCCCTGCTTCCCATACCTGAAATTCAATAACTAACTGTTTACTTTCTGTCCACCCCTTGACAGGTGCCATTAACGATATAATATATGTTATTCACTTCACCTTTCAGTGATTTTATTGTTGTGGCTGATTTAATGTTGTGGTACAAATAGTTGTATTAATTATAAAACATATACAGAAAAAAATGACTGATTTTCATATCTCTGGTCGGATCTTCCCTCCACTCTCCATTCCCCCAAAAAAGAATAGAGAGGAGGCAAATAAATTTGGTGCCAAGCTGTAGAATTATATTTGTTTGGTCTATGTTTTCGATATTTAATAAATAAAATGCAGTGGGCATAGTGTAACTGTTCTACGGAATTCTGAACAAATAACCTCCCTTTGGTTTTTTTTTTTCCTCTCTAAAATCTGTCAAAAGGCCCTTGAATTCATTCACTGTGTCCAAAGGGAAGAGTCACTGGAGAGGTATGCCGTGAGATAAATCTCTTTATAGCAAATGTACTGCACTGAAATTGACCCTTAACGAAGTATTCCGTGCAGATTGTGTTTTATAATAGGTGTTATTAAACAGCGCTGAAGGATCAGTTTGTCTCCTTTCCTGGCAGAAGTAAGATTGAAGCATACCATATCATTGTGTTTCCTGCTCCATGTTACATAGCTGAAAAGAGACATGCGTCCATCAAGCTCAGCCTGTCTCGCATCTGTTTTTGCTCTTGATCCAGAAGAAGGCAAAAAAACCAATTTGAAGCACTTTCTGTACCATACCAAGAAACATTAGGCACTTTCTTTTAAGGTGATGACCTCATTGTCAATGGTAGGTTTGGAAAATCTGATTTTATTTTGTTTCTTTTATTGACATGGATGAAAATATGTGGAATTCAATAACATAAACACTATTTTAATAAGGTTTCATATGTGTATAAAAAGACAATTCACTGCCCAAAAATGTCACTATCTGTATTATTATGTAACCCTGGTCAATTTGTGTTTGGCTCTTCATAGTTCTGTGTGTCCCTTTAACCCCTTCCCTCCCAACACGATGTATACACAGGTCAATGTCTGTTTTGTGTTCTAAAATTTAAAGAAACATGTATTCCTGACCCTGTATTGTTAAAAACACTCACGCCAAGGAGGCGGGCCAGGGTGGAGGCAAAAGCCACCCTAGCCAATCAGGATCTCCTCATAGAGATGCATTGAATTAATGCATCTCTACGAGGAAAGTTCAGTGACTCCATGCAGAGGGGCAAGAAACTAAATGTCACGACTTCAGGAGGGGATCAGTGCATCCGTTTTTAGCATTTGGCTCGCATAGCCCGACAAGAGGAGCAGTGCGGGTGCTTGTAGCAGGTAAGTTTGCTACAAGTGCTTACCCGATTGGCGAGAACAGCCTGCACGGGAATATTGGATTGCCGCACGGACCAGTAAGTGGCGCCATAGAGTTGTAATACAGCTGCTTGTTTTGTACAGCAGAAAGCTGGCAATATTGAACTATGCTAGAATTTGTGCGCTATGGGATATTATTATTATCAGAAATTATATAGCACTAACAAATTCCATGTATTCACTCATGATTCCAAACCCACTATGGGATGAATTGGCTTTCTCACATTGGAGAAGAGGAGTTTACCATTCTACACATATCGCTGGACCTGTGATTATTGTTAGGATTTTTATAATTATTATTATTGTACCATTGTACTTACACTCTCTCACCATTTCATTTTAACTGTATATAATGTTTATATACTTTACATTATTAATATACCTAGCAATAAGTTTTCCCTTAGGATTTCATTTTTGCCTTTTGGGCTACGGGCTTATTTAAGCAAAGTCCCTATCACCTCCATTATTGCATTACCTGTATTATTTCTTTACCTATTTCACTCCAATAAAAAATAATAACAATAAAACAACGGCTGCCATTTTAGTCTTTTGAAATTATGTTAAATATATCATTTAGGTTTTCTTTCTAATAATTTTTAATATACTGTATCCTATTGTAACAATGCAATGTTTGTGGACCAAGGAGATACTTGAAAATGAGAGATATCTCAATGTGTCCTTCCTGGTAAAATATTTTATAAATAAATAAAAAGAAAAGTGAGTTAGAAAAAATCCACCAATTATATGTTTGAAAAACTCCATAAATTATATATTTATTCATGCCATATAAGGTTACATTTTGTTGCCTTTTCATTTCCACTTTATAAATGCATCAAGTTTGCTTTACTGCTGCTGCAAATAATGACACAGTACAATCCTCTGTTTTTGGAATGATGGCCAAGACTTTATCATTTGGACATGTTAGAAAGTTTAACTGTGTCCAGCTGAGATTTTTCCACTTGCACCAACAGTGATGTATGTTTACATTGGTGGAATGCAAGCATTAGTTCTAAATGAGCTTCATAACAGTACTTTGAGAGGAGAAGTGAATGGCCTTTAAGATGATAACCATACATTCTGAATCTTTTAATCTTCGGTTAAAAATGTCTGGTTTTTCAGATAATGTACATAATTATTTTGTATTCATCAGCATTGCTTGGGACATGGAAACTACCTCAAAAACCTCCATTATTTAACACACTAGGCACTGCTCCTCAATCAGACAAATATGTAGTTTGACTAAACAGAGACTGATGAAATGAGGTTGTTGGATTTTTGGGAGTTTTGTTTTTTTTTTCTACAATATACATCTTTTATATTATCACTTGTCTTTATTCAATTATTTATTAGTTCTAATATGGTTCTCTTATCCAGAACACTTCACAAAATTTCAACAATTATTTACATGTATTCTTATAGAGAGAAATATATAGAATTAGACATGCTGGCACAGAATGTTTGTTTCTAGAACCCTACCCTTGTACTATAGTCTAACATTTGAAGCCTTTTTTTTTTTTTTTTTTAACAAAGTGCAATGCAATACCTACATACAAGCTTAAAATCTACAAGAAAATGAGACAGGAAATAAATACTTTTTTTTTTTTTTTTAAACCATTAATCGATAATAGTGACATTATACAGATTTATAAGTTAGTAATTGTGTTACCTTGATGATTCCACATGGAATTAAATATTAACATTCTATGATGGAAAATTTAAAAACAAGTATAAATTCAATAATTGATTCAAAATTAAAAGATTACGGTCCTACACTAAACATCAAGTTGTGGTGACATTATTTTGAAACTGTCATATAAAATGTAGATCCAAAGAGTAGAGCAAGGATTTTATTCCTAATTGGTTAACTTGACTTTTTATTTTATTTTTTAACTCTGCTATTTGGTGTGAATTTTATCTTCCTGCAGTACACTAAATACTACATTATTAGACATTTCTAGTATTTAGCCAAAATTGTTGTAGTATCAAAGCTGAATACTTCTAGAAAATAGGAATGTAAATTTCAATATAAAAAAAGGTACAAGCAAATGTGTACGAAATACAAGATACACCTTGATTTAAACATTTGCGTAGTCACGTAAAAGAGCCATGTAGAGAAAGGTAACACAATTATAAATGCAAAACAACCATCTCATCTAAACTTTTTTAACCTATATTTAATATAATTTTATTACATCACAATGTAAAGCTAGACCAATAAATATAAAATTATTCACAGGTCTCCAAAGCTTACAGACTTATTTCAATGGCTATTAGAACAAACAAGTTACTTTACTATTAACTAGAATTGTGCATGGCAAGGAAAATTGACTTGGCTGAACCATTTCTTTGAAATATAAAACATTTTTTGGGATGGA